TCGGGCCTCTCTACCCCTCAACGCTCGAGGTACATGGTTCCAGCACGGAGAGCACATAAACGGCGCTGTCATGTGTGTCGGTCTCGTTACGTACTCGAAAGAGAAAGAAACTTTGGAAGGATATCAATTGCGGTTGTAATGGCGGATAGTGGTATAGAAATCGCTGCAAAAAGAAAGGAAAACAAACCAGGAAAAAAAAAATAAAAAAGAAAAAGAAAGAAAACACATTCTCGCAGTTGCGAGTACGAGAGAAAGACGAAGTATCTCAAAGGCCTGCTCATGGCAGCCAGAGGGGGATTTGCAGCGGACAGGTGGTATGCAGCGCCTGAGTCTCCGCGTGACCCAGCCCATGGTCGTCGCGCTTCGGTCGACGTGTAAAGATGACCAACATATCACGCAACGCCCGGTCGGACGGGTCGCATGCGTTCAGCTGTGTGACACATCGCTTGTAGTGGTTGTCGGCGAAAATCAACGTGTCAAGAAAGTCGCGATGCTGCACCCGCGCGCGGATCAATGCGGGATTCGTCTCCCACAGTGGTGCCCCCGTCGTCTCCAGGTTATCGTGGAGGTAGGTGACTGCGCTGTCCGAGCGCATGTTGGACGATCCTAGAAATACAGTCATAGTGTGGTCCGACCCATCGGAGTGGACGCCCCCGGGCGCCGGCTCGCCCTGGACCCCCTGGCGATCGTCGGTGAAGATGCGCACGTTGAGCACGGTGCACACCCATTGATGCGACGTGTAGTCCAACTTCTCGCGAGGCAGGATAGGTACCTTGTGGAAGACTAACGCCTTGAAGAGCATCAGGGCCTGGACGACTGTGTTTCCCTGCATCTCGAGCGGTGCCTCCTCGAACTCCCGCTGGACGCCTGGATCGTAGCGTTTATAGGGTTCCTCGGTCCTCGGGCCGCAGGGCCTCTTCTCCAGGCGTTGGATGCATCGCGTCTCGAAGTCGAGGCAGTAGCGCGCGGAGGTCACGGTGCGATATTCGAGCGTGGGATCGGGGCCGGTGGTGTCGCTGATCTTCTGGATGAGTTCGAAGTCTTCATCTCTTGCGCCGAGGCCCTTGAGGATCGGCACCATTTCGCTGCTTTTGACGAAAAGGATTCGTTCTTGGAGGTAGGTTTCCCGCAGGGCCATCACCTTGGCGACGGTCTTGTAAAATTCCGCGTGGTATCGGCGCTGGAGCACATTGAGATTGTGCGGCGTCGAGCGCCCGGCGCTGCTGGTTTGACTTCGAGGCGGTAGGGCCATAGGCTCAGTCGATGCTACGACTGTTGGGGGTGCGTTAGAAACGACTGGGCGACAGCCTTGGGCAAGCTTTGCAATCGAGCATACCCGTGAGGGGGGCGTTAATACTTATACTGCCGGGATGCAACAGGTTCATGGGTCTGCCTCGCAGCTTTGAAGGTGAAGGCCATCTATGTGAATGACCACGTTGTCGTTGTCGCCAAGGAAGTGACTGCAGCTTGATCCAGAAATCAGGGTTAAGTCAATGCTGTTACATTGACAAACCTGCTTGTATGTCATTGTGATTTTCTATAATCTTGTACCCCTAGATCCGCGCATATGTATGTACAGACATAATGGTCCATTCGTATGTAAGGGGCGGTGCTTAGCTCCACTCATTTGGCCAATTCCGGAACACTTTCATGTTTTCTTCCGTCCTATCAGCACGCAACATCATGTGGAAATCAATTCCTATGACCTTTGCAGTGTCCTCAATGGCTTGAGCTTCACATCGCTCGCTTCAAAGTATAATCAACCCTCCAGTGAATCTTGACAGTTGGTTCCAGACCTTTCCTACCGCCTCAGAAGGCTAAGTTTGAAGCGACCGCACCCAGGGCAACTGGGTAGAAAGCCCAATTCGCGGGGTATCAAAGGGTCGGCCACTTTGACCCTAAGATCAGTGAAAAAATACAGTTACTGCAAGCACTACGAACATTCGAGAGAAAATTCTATTTTCCCCGTCCATGTTTCACGTAGGTCATCTTCCCAGACCCCTCTTATGTAACTTACCCCGGGTAAATCCGTGCCTTCAGTATGCAACCCCGAATGGCCTGCCTGCGCGGTACCTTGGTCCAATACTAGTACCTTGGTAGTCCGCTTAGATTTAATTAACGAAAGAACAGTGGCCGTGTAGCCACGGCACTTTGCTGTCAGGCACAGGTTGCAAGTGCCCAATTGCATCACCTTTGATCGATTCTGATGACGAGTCGAGACATCTCTCTTCGGTGTTGCTCGGCGAATTTTTGACGCTAATCGGTCCGAGACGAAAGGATCAAACTTGACAAAGCCCGGCGCGACAATGGCAGCTATTGAACCATCAAACGGGTCGGGTAAATCACCCAGGGGCGGTGACTGCACCTAGCTATCTAGGGCGAATTAGGGTGTGGTGCTGCCAGCTGCAAAAGCAGCGGCTGACTAGGCCAAGTTGGGAAGACAAAGGGTTCGTCTTAGAATAGATCATGGTCATGTATCATCTTCTTTGAGACAAGGTCTAATAATGTTACGCCATGATCACTTTGTACGCTCTGACAAGGTTGCCTCCAGACTACCCCAAACCAAGTATTGTTGTGGTGGACATGTGCTTAGACGAGGGACTGATCATCTCTCCATCCCTAGACTACTCGGTTATAATGATTGGATATAGCATAGATGTCTCTTATTTATCCATTCACAATACGAGATACCGCAGATGTTCAATGCTAAAGATATCTGTCTCAATGTACATACACAGACATTTTGTTTCCCCATCGCCCTGGCAAAGGATCCTCGAGGTGAAACTGCCACAATTAGAGGTTCCGAAAATATCTTTGTAGACCCGCTCAGACCCATGAGCTAGGGAGAAAGACTTGTTTGTCTTTCATTATCTGGCGACAAAGAACCAAGTCCTGTTCCTGTTTATGGTCAATGGCTATAAATCAGCGGACAAGGAATCGCCTTCACCAGAACGAAGCATTATCGATGACTGGGATATCACCCCAATGGAATTATTCTTTACTTCCTGAATCAACATCGGTTCAAAAAGCAGGATCTGGTATGCTGATCTGCTCCAGGCTCCTGCTAGTCTCTAAACACCTTTTCAGTTTCTCCTCCTATGTCTTCAACTGCTCAATCCAAAATACCTTACTTAGCAAGTCTAAGAAGCCTATAAACAGTCGTTCTGGATGGTCATACAAGCGTATACAGGAAGCACACCTTTCCTCCTCTATTTCTCCAATACAGACAGCCTCATCCAAATTTACCGCTCAGGTTGAGCATTTGTCTCTCCCAAGTGCAAGAATCCAAGCACCCGATCTTTCCTCTGTTCTTATTGCCATCCTGTCGCAATGGCAAGAAAGGCCGAATTCTTTTTCCGTCCGCCTGGCAGTCCCAGACCTGACGAGGCTGACAACCAGGCTAGCAGGTGTGATTCAACCCACAGTGAACCCATGCTCCCTGGGCGAGTGCGCTGGCCTTGCGACATAAGATTGGACCTTGTTGGATTTGGTGAGCAACAGGCGTGGGGTAAGTGGTATAACGGCTCATCAACCCGCCTCGTCTTGCAACTCAGCTGGCTAACTTGATTCCTCAGAGTCAGGTGATGTGTACTTCAACGCCCCACGCGATGAATACCTCCGCCCAATCGACTCTGGGCTTCAAGCCAGAGTAAGCGGTCTGGGCCATGTCGCATTCCGGGGCGCCTTACAGGCGGCGTATGTTTGTTTCATGGTTAGGCTGCCTGAGAGTGTCTTGGACACCGAATACCTCATTCGATTCGACAATTCTCCGAGCCCGGCGCGTTGGAACCGAAAGCCACCCGTTGTTGACCAATGCATCAATCTCTTCATTCAACAGTCCTGGGCGGAGCTTTTCTCGCTACTAAGCCGCCATTGCGAACCACTTTTCCTCTCGACGTCAGTCGCTCCCCCGCAGGATCTGGAGTCTTACCTGATGCATTCACGTCTTTGCTTCCGGTTGATGCCGCAGAAGAACGATACGGTAACATTCGAACCCTGTCCTGTCCCACCGACGTTGGCGCGTGCAGAGGTCGACTGGGATGCAGTGGAAGATGAGATGCAGGATACTCCCGTCTTCCAACTCTCGGAGGTCGAGCGGTTCCGCGACGTCGAGCGAGGTAAAGTCTTCGAAGTCGTGATCCGTGGGGCGACATTTGCCTACAAAATGACCAATGGGACCGAGTCCTTTCAGCGCGAGATTTCCATGCTACGGAAGATGAAACAGTGCAACGACGGAGGACGCTCGCTCCGGGTGCCCAAGCTGGAAGGGATCATCGGCATCGGTACTCAGTATCCCGGTATACTGATGGCTTACATACCGTCGCCTGCTTCCCTGGCTTGCCTTATGACGGCCGACAATGACGGTGAGGTAAGCATCGCCGAACGCCAGAAGTGGTATGATCAAATCGCCGACGCGGTGCATACACTTCACCGGCACGGGCTCGTTTGCGGGGATGTCAAAGCAGCTAATGTTGTGATTGACGGTCTCCATCGCGATGCGTGGCTTGTGGACTTCGGAGGGGGGGGCAACTGTGGGCTGGGGTGGACTCCAGCGTACCAGGAACGGAGGCTGGGGACTTGCAAGGATTGAGCAAGATGCGCAGGTTCTTGAGGTTAGAGCGCACTCGGCCATGGCAAACGGGGAGACGGCAAGGACTAGCCCCGACCTCACTTTTCTGTCCTCTTCTATGTCTGATACTTGCTCTTATTCCTTTCCTCATAGTCTGCTTCTTCCTTTCCATGTTGCTCAGTCTTTGTTCACTATTAATTTAGTAGGTTCCAGTCTAAACACCGACATATCATTTCTGGCCAATGATGGTTCTTCGATACTCCTAGTCTCGATTGAGTGCAATTTCGGTCGTCGGGTCGAAGCCTCGGTTGCTTCAAAGCCGAAATACCTATAGTTGTGATAACATATGAAGAAACGCGGCTCACTACTAGACATCATCCTCCTCAACGAGAGCGTGCGCGGGAATCGGGTTCGAATCGCTCCACTCCAGATGCGGGATGATGTGCCTTGCTTGCCATACCGACTGACTTCTGGCAGACGTGCCCCCTTCACCTGCGATGCGTGGAGCTCGGCCGAGCTGCAGGCCATTGTATCCCAGGTCGCTGGGGTGGACCTCGTGGTCGCGTTCGACTACGAGATCGCCAATATCAACATCTCTGTCAACGAGGATGCGTCGGCCGTTGCCACAGTCCAGGATAAACCGGATACTTCGGCCTTTGCATGGCATTACGACAGTTTCCCATTCGTGTGCGTGGCGATGCTGTCGGACTGCAGCCACATGATTGGTGGCGAGACCGCTATCCGGATCCCAGCTGGCGAGATCAAGAAGATCCGCGGGCCAGCGATGGTATGTCACCGACGGCATGCTACCGTCTCTTTTTCCTTTGTGTATTTTTCTCCTTTAATTCTTCTCCTCTTCTCTTCCCCTAGGCTGATTAAGTCTCCAGGGCACCGCAGTGGTAATGCAAGGCCGATATATCGAGCACCAGGCGCTCAAGGCGCAGGGCGGCCGCGAGCGGATCAGCATGGTGATCCCCTTCCGACCGCGGGATCCATCTATCCGCGACGAGCTGGTCCTGACCGGGTCCCGGGCCATCAGCAACTGGTCGGAGCTCTACCATGGCTTCACGGAGTATCGGTTGGAGCTGCTCGAGGAGCGCATCCGCTTGAAATTGAAGGAGGAGCGGAAGCGGGTGGATACCAAGCGTCCGTTCAGTGTTACCGGCATGACGGAGTTCTTGGCGGCGCAGAAGGACTTCCTGGAAGCGACGATTGCGGAGTTGACGGAGGTCGAGGAGATGGATTCGTGTTGAGGGTAGATCCTGGGAGTTCTGGGTTAGTAGTTTGTCAAGATGCTGTAGTTACGATGGACGTTCTCGCCAGTGATGCAGTAGAACAAGGACTTATACCTCCCTCTCCCCGGTGGGAATACAGTCGGGACTCGTGTCAAGTTAAGATCGTCGGGTACTCCCGAGCCACGCTCGGGACCGTCGGCTTCCCCGGCTGTCAATCGCCCCGATAAGGTGAATTATGCGGGGTGACAGGCATCAGAATGTCGCAATACATCGAACTTGAGTTTGGAATGAGCTATGTAAACACACAGAAAAATAACCTTCGAATAAGAAGAAATGGGGTTAAAATGTGAATAAAAGTGCCCGGGAGAATAGGAGCGATAGTTGAGCCGATAAGAGTTTGATGATAACGATAGCTACTACGATACAGCAACCCCCCTTGGTATCACGTGTCTATCAGCTACTAGCCGCTCTACTCTGCCGTAGCTACGCTACACTATCAGAAGCATCAATCAGATTTTCGATAGATATAGACTGCGTAGAGTAGGGGTGTGACCAGACAAACCTCCATCTATGGGAACCCGACTGCCAAGGACTATTCCGGCGGTGGCTGAAGGCGGTTGACGTGGCAGCTGCGAAGCGCTGCCTGGGACGAGCGACCGAGGTGACTTTGCGTAGCTACTCATAGTAGCTTCAAGCTGATACGAGGTACTTTAATGCTTGTAGACGCTTTGCCCGCAAACAACCCAACCTGGAATACGAGAGAGACCGAACTCAGACCCAATAATTCCCTTCGGTGGCGGTCCACGGCCCATGTTATCTTCAGCCCCGAAGCTCTATTCTCCTTTCACTCAGTTCAGCAAGCATGCTGTCTTCGCAGTATATAGCCTCGTGCACTTATTTCTTCCAAAAGACAAGCAACTCAACCGTTCCGATCGCTCTCTTTGTCTCGATATCCTCCCACACTGACCACAATGCAACTTCTCACCCTTTCAAAGATCACAGTAATGCTATTCGCGACCCATGCATCTTCAAAGTGTCAGATGGCCGGCTTCAACGAGTGCAAATGGTGGGGCAGCTCTCCATTCTGCGGGGCCAGCAAATCCACCCCCGGCGACACCGACTCGGACGGCTGGCTCTTCGTTGCCTCGACAAGGACGAAGAATTGGGATGTGCTGTGCAGGGAGATCTCCGACTCGTGTTGTCGTGATTACGGAGACGGGTGTCTGACCGGGTATAAGCGGTTGTGGTGTCATGATTCGGGTATGTCTGTCTGCTGTGGTTCTCTTAGCTGGAGAGTGGACTTATCGCGAGCTTTAGAGAGTGTAATGGACGATAATTTCGGTGTGGAACTGTGATTATGGGTGTCATGGCTTTTTGCACAGGGAGTCCCGAGTCGGGCTTTTCGTCTGGTTTTTGAGACGCGGCTGCAGGAAATCATTTATGTCTATGTGGGGGCCAGCTGGGGCCGACATGTTAGAGCTCTTGGCCCCCACAATGGGTAGAACTAGTGGTGAGGAAATTGGAAGTTTTGATTTGTTCTTTGATGCCGGGCTTGTTGCATTTTCTTCAAGATCCTAAGTGTAGAGGAATGCAAGGGCTAAGCGAAACTGAAGTTATGGTGAGCTGAGCTAAGTAGTGTGAGTGTTCCGGACCGGGCAAGTGCATGATTGAAGTAATCGTCACCCTTTTGGCAATAATAGTATCAGTCTTAGGCTATGTCTGTATAGTCTGCACCTCCTCCACCGTCTCCCCGGTCACCACGATCATACTCCCCTTGAAGGAGAGGAGCTTGCCCTCTTCCGGGTGGGCGTCGACCATCGCGCCTGCAGCCTGAAGTCAATGTACATACTAACTCTTCCACGGCTGGAGGCGACAGTGAAGATTTTCTCTTGATGCCAGCCGACAGTTACGAAAACCGCAGGGTGAATGGTTCCGGAAACTGGAGGACGAGCGCGTATACCGGAAAGCAGCACCTGGCGGCAGCGCCGGGCCTCACCGCTTTCTGCTCTGAGTGTTAATTCAGAAGATATTAACGTCGTACAGACTCTTGGAACTGGAAAGTGTACTAAACACTTGTTGGAAGGGCTAGGTGGTGACAGAAAGACAACACCGCCCGGCGCGCCTTACCCTTGTGGCGGTTACGCTACGCTCCTCCATAAATCTGTGGCAATACGGCCGACGCGTGGTGACTATAACTGCAAGTGTTTCAGGGCCGATCACGTGGTGCTGATCCTGCGCCAGCCTAGCGCGAAATTCCCTCGATAAAGGGTGTCAGCCTCATCCACCATGACTTATCAATCAGTAACCACCTCCTGAGATCATTTCATCCCCTATAGCGTCAGCACCACCGTACCCATGGCACCATCAGCGACCCGAAGAACAAGGACCAGCAACCGCAGGTCCCGCAAAGGATGCATAACCTGCAAGTATGTAGCACACCCGAGTCAGACCGCCACACAACTACAACCCCTGACTCACGGCTCGAGATGACAGGATCCGCCACGTCAAGTGTGGGGAAGAGAAGCCCGCGTGCAGCCAGTGCACACGCTCCGGGCGCAAATGCGACGGCTACACCGAAGCCTCACAGACGCAACTTCGCCAAGCCCTCGTTCAGTCCACGCCTTGGCACCAGGGCTTGAGCCCGACTTCAGATCAAAAGATTGTGCTCGTGCCAGGCACGCGGGAGGAGCGGCAGTACGTGCAGTTTTTTTGCACGCAGACCGCACCCGCGCTGTCGGGCTTCTTCCCGTCGCAGTTCTGGAACCAGTTCCTCCCGCAGCTCAGTCATCGCAACCAGGCGGTCCGACATGCCGTTGCCGCTGTCGGGGCGCTGCACCATCGTCAACTGGCAGGCTGGTTTGAGCCTGCACATGCGACTGACGAGTTCACACTGCAACAGTACAACAAAGCGATCCAACAGTTTCTACGGCAGATCGGAGACCCGAAAGACAGGGGCTTTGACATGATGCTCATCCAATGCCTCCTGTTTGTCTGTCTCGAGATGCTCCAGGGCAACTCCAGGCAAGCCATGAATCACGTCCAAGGCGGCCTGGATATCCTCTCGAGGCAAACTGCCGCCCTGGACACCATTAATAAAGACCTGTTCCAGTTCTTTTGCCGACAGAACAATCAATTGTCGTACTTTGGTCGACCGCTCATGCCCGCGCTGGACATAAGATCACCCGACCCTTCCCCTCTCCGATCGAACAAGAATCTCACTTTCGACCATATCGACCAAGCAAGGGATTACCTGACGAGCATGATCACCAGGTGCCTGTCCTTTGTCCGCTTCGCCCAGCGTCACGTCTTGGCAAACCCACCACAACCGCTGTATCCGGAACATTTCCAACAGCAAGCGGCTTTACTCGGAGAGTGTCATGCATGGTTCCAAGCCTTCGAGACACTGCGGAAGAAGCCCGCCAAAGCCAGCGGGATTCTCGATCCGCGGGCGCCTTTGTCCATGGCATGCCAGTACCACACCGCGATCACGTGGCTTAGCACCTGTACCTCACTCGATGAGATGGTCCTCGACAAATTCGTCCCGAACTTCGAAGCAATCGTCTGTGCAGGTGAGAAGTTAGTCGAACTGTGCGGCGTAGACGAACGCGGCTCGGTCGCGGAGCAATTTTATCTCGACGCAGAGCTAATACCTGTGCTCTACTGGACGGCCCAGCGCTGTCGACACCCGATTCTGCGGCGGAGAGCTCTTGGTCTATTGACGAGATATCCAGCTCGGGAAGGCTTGTGGGACAAAGGGCTGCATGTTGCGGTGGCGAGTCGGGTCATGGAACTGGAGGAAGCGGGGCTCGCGCATCTGCCCGTCGCGCAGAGGTTTCCGCTGGCACGTCAGCGGGTGCACGACGCGTCGATAGTTAGCGAACGGGAGTCGCGGGCAAATCCGTGTCTGGTACTCTTCCGCTTTAAGCCTCGTGGACTGGACGGGCCTTGGGAGCTTCGATGGGAGAATGTGGGCTGGTGAGCGAGACGAGGCGTCCTCTCGAAGGATCAGCCGTGTCTAAATAGACTACCTACTCAAATGTACAGGGACTGTCTGAAAAACCTATCTCACGTTTCATGCTGTCGTGGCCCCCACCGGGGTGGTGGGATTACGATGAGACCAATCAGAATCTCGTCGGGATATAAGGACCGCACTAAAGATAAGCCACGCCGTACATTTACGGGCCGTTCAATCACAGACGGCAATTGCCTGGCCCTAGCTCTTGGCGTGCGGCTGTGGATAAGATTAGAGATCCGAGGGCTGTCGATCTTTCCGAGAGCCGCCCCATTCATACTCCGTATCTTCGCTGCCTGATCCTTTGATCCTTCGAGTTAATCATAGTAGAAGGCTGTGTAGAATGTGGTCTTTTGATTGGTCATGGCGTCAACTTTATGTTGATGCCTTCACCATGAGTTAAGAGCCTCTGTTATAGCCTCTCAGTGTGTCCCTGGTATATAAATCGCCGAGATGTCAGCTGTTCGAACCAGCAGTTAAATTTGCACTCTCGAATCTCATCCACAGCCAAGAACCTGTTTTATTGTTCTCTACCGCAACAGATTGATCAACCTTCCATCTCAAAATGGCAACTTCTGATGAGAATGACATTTACGTAGGCTGCAAAGCCTACACCGAGACCGTTAGTACTTCGTACGGGTACATACCCTCCGAAGGCGCCGGAATTGCGTTCTGTGTCCTCTTCGGCTTATCGATGATCGTCCATATCGCTCAATTCTGCTGGAAGCGAACATGGTGGTGCAGTCTCTTCAGCATCGGATGCATGGGTATGAATGCTATTGAGTCACCAAATCACAAGGAGACCCAGCTAATCCCACTGCAGTGGAAGTCCTCGGTTGGGCCGGGCGGACGTGGGCCTCCCAATGTCCCTACAATTCCACCGCATTCATGATCCAGATCTCAACCCTGATCATCGGTAAGAACTAGCCTTCCTCTACCTGCACACACGCTAACACCTCAAAGCACCAACCTTCTTCACCGCCGGTATCTACGTCCTGCTCGGTCGCCTCATCCAACTCTTCGGCCGCGAATCCTCAATCCTCTCTCCAAAACTATACCTCTGGATCTTCTGCACCTGCGACGTCATCTCACTCGTGGTTCAAGCCGTAGGCGGCGCACTGGCCTCCACCGAGTCCAACGAAGTGAACGGCAACACCGCCCCAGGCACCAACACCATGGTCGCCGGTATCGTTTTCCAGCTGGTTTCCGTCACGGTCTTTGTCTTCTGTGCCGTGGACTTCTTCCGCCGCTCCCTGCGTCTCGGGTACTTGCAGGGTCTCCTCCACGGTCCGCTCGCCTACCTCGTTGGCGCTATGGTGCTGTCCGTCGTCTGCATCTATATCCGGAGTATCTACCGGACGATCGAGCTAGCGCAGGGCTGGACTGGCTATCTCATCACGCATGAGTCCTATTTCATTGGTCTAGACGGTGTGATGATGGTAATTGCCGTTGGTGTCTTCAATGTGTTCCATCCCGGGTGGCTGCTGCCGGCGGATCATGTGCTCGCCAAGAACCAGGCTTGTCTGGAGTCGGGGGAGATCGAGACGCATCAGTTGCAGTCGACGACGGAGTACACGGGATATGGACATCAGTGAGCGGAAGATGTGTGCCTTGGAATTCGGGCTGTAATATGCCACACTGGCATAAGTAGCTTACCGTGGTCGTCACATTCCTTGGCCCAAGCCAAATGGGACTGACTGCAGCCCATATTTCATAAGTGTCATCGACACCGCTATGATAAGTTAATACTGATGAGCTATCAAGCTGATGGTGCTCTCTGATACTTAGATATCTGGAGATAAACTGGAATTGGGCGTACGCATAAATACTTATTTTCAGTTGTCTGCTTGAAACCATTATGTATATGTCGTAGCTATACAGAACTAGAGCATTATCTGTAAATCTGCAGGTACTAAGTGTAAGTCTTTCGAGCACGGTATTCTGCTTGTAATTTGACTATGTGTCTACTCAAAAAAGGTCTAAATCTAGTAGTACCTTTGAATTTATCATGGATATCAACTGCATATTGCTACTGTCTTTTGTTGTTGAGCAGGATGTAGACGAGATGGAGAGCAGCCTGGTTGAAGTTGCCGCCTTACCCGAACGAGGTTGGCAAAAACTTTTGCCAACCTCATTCGGGTAAGGCGTGCCGGGTGCCTTAGGCATTAAGAGCTAGTAATCAGTGACAATACAGTCCCTGGAAAGTAGCCTGCGTACTCCACGAAGAGTTCGTCTTATTCCTATTTAAAACTGGTTACACCCTAATTCTACCGGCGAAAGCCACCACCTCTAAGTCCTCAATACTTTGTATAACATGCTGTACCATATATTTTTTGTTAACAAGAGCAATTAGGAAGGCGGTGCTGCGGAAAGTGGCGCTTGGAACCAAACAGTTTGGTGGGGGGAGTACGCAGACTACTTTCCTCCGACTGTATAATACTGAGTCATTGTGCCCGTAAGCTATTTTAGTACATAAGGCTCTGGAAAAAAATGATTTAGAGCTGTTTCTTTCACTATGAGACGGTACAGGCCATGTGAGCAAGAGTGCTAGTCCCGAAACCCACAGCCTTAGTAACTAAGTCTGTGTGTGGTCGAAGCTATCCGCGCTGACTTAGAGCAGCAAGGAACAACGGTGACACCAGCGACTGCTGGTCCCCACTTGCATTCTAGGCGGCGAGCGAATTGAGCAGCAGTCATTGGCCCCCGCATGTGATTCCGGAGGCGGCTGCTAATCTCCACGTGTAGGCGGGGCGAACCTTATCAAAAGGCTTTTTGATGGCAAGAACCTATGTTGGCTGGGTCAGAGGTGACAACAAACAATCTCGCAGGTAGAGCTGACTTATTCAGAAGGGATAACAGTGACAGTCATTCAACATCTTGTTCCGTCAGGCTTCTCCGCTGACCTAATCTTTTTTCTCGCTTTTTGTCATTGTCCCTGTTCCGAGTCCAGATCTTACGTTGCTCTGAAATCCACTTTTGCGCTCTCGCTGCTCTTTTCGTGCCCATGCATTACAGTACGATTGGCCACACCACGCTTTGATTTCTTCAGCACAATGAGCCCAATTGCACATGGATTTACTGGTCCCAGTTTCTGGGCTACGCCTGACTCAACATTGCTGACTACTCTGCCCACGTGACCGAAGGCTTAGGTTAATCTCACGCACATGACATGAAGGTTCATCGGTCGCTCCAAACAACCGTCTGGAGCAACATTTCTCGTGTTCACGTGTATATCCATTGCTATCGTCGCGGTCCGGCCTCCTAGATTGTCTTGCCACGTCGCCTATAACTCCATGCACTCTGCCTTGAGTGTTCTTCCCATCACCTCATCACCTTACCCACTAAAAAGCCTAAGCATCAATGAAGACCACCGGGAAGATACGGAAGGACTCGATACATCGAAACTATCTTTCACGTGCCTCACGCGCTATATAAATAGCGCGTCGCGAACCCAAACACAACGCTACCTCAACACCCATCTCATCTCTCTCGAATGATCGAGCCTTTCGCACCATCCTAAAAGCCCACGCACAAAATTCTTCCCAATTATACTCTCACTCTATTGAAGGATCACATACACAATGGCAATTACTCGTGCTCAGAGGCGATCGCGTATCAACGTCGCCGGCGACGCGTGCAATCGCCATGTTTCTACCGCGAATTCCCCCGGCCCATCTGACGCGACTCCGACAAAAGACAGAGCTCCCACACCCGAATCTCCAGGCAGAGCTGCTGAACAGGGAGCACAGGTTCCGGCTGATCAAGCGATACCTGACATCTTGACGGTCCCGACTCCCAGCAGCGACCGAGAAAGTCCTCCACCAATGCGGGATATTACCAGGTACATTGATGAAGTTATTGATCGGGGCAGAGATCCTTGTCCCCAGCCAGAATTCTCGGAAGTTCTTTCTGGGTCGAGCTCGACCACTCAGCAGTCTTTGAAGCTCTCGGGTCCTCCCTGCACATGATCATCGCCAGTATCCAGAGTGATGTTCCAGATTTATTGGCCGGTTTTGGCGAAGACTTAGCACTTGAGGTAGAGAAACTGCACATGACGATCAGAACGATGTTCATTAGGGTGGCCTCGTTGAAGAGCGTTTCACACCTGCTAAGGAGTCATGTTGACAGTTTTGATCCTGACTCTGATTACAAATCCAAATACCACGACCCCTCCACTTCTGACAGTGAGGCCCTTTTCCACCGCCTCTGGAGCGACGATGCTTCCTCTGAAATAAGGGGGTTCCGATCACACAGCTCCGAAGAGGAGCTGGCCTAGACAGCTTGTCTCGCTCAGAAGCTTGGCAATCAGACTGGGAAGCCTTCTCGCCAAAGGTGCCAACCTGAAAGTGATCTGGTGACGGAAGCTAACCAAAAGTCTTGCATCGTATCTCAATCAATGTTCCTGTATCTGCTCGGTCGGTTTTTACTTTGTATTTTCTTCTCTTGATTTGTCCTGTCATGTCCTTGAATTGAAGTTTGAAAACAGATAGTATGGCGCGACGCGTTACAAGTTTATATTTGGCGGGGCTCAGAATGTTACTTTCTCTCTCAGGTGACTTTAATTTAAGAATATCTCGGTCAATGGTCATCAAGATCACTCTATGTCTCTGCTCTTGGGTCGAGGAGTGAAGAACAGGCTAGTGTGTCGCGTCCACGGCAGTCTTTATGTGCGCTAAACTGTCAACGAGTACAAATTGAATCCACGTTGTAGGTTGCCGATGAGCTGTGCCCCTAGCTAGATCAGGGTAACAATCCGTTCCCTGCAAGTTCACATAAGGCGCTTACTGTGCGGGACAAGCAACCAAGGGTTCATGGGGGGGGCTCGTACGGTGACGAGGAGGTCACCGGCCCATTCCCATTGTCCATCGCTATGCAATCCAAGCCCACACCTAACCGGGAGAACGCGATACCCGCCACGTCAGCGTGGTGTATGTGAGAGCACTGATCTTGGGGCCTCTTACCTTTCCCAAGACATGGCGAGGCTCCGATTCCACCCATCGACACTCCTCCATGTCCACCTGCGCCTTGCCCGAAAAGAGATCAATCTCCGCTGGGGCCCGGATCTTGGACTTGGTGATGACCTTGAAGCCGACGTAGAGGGTGACAAAGACCGGGATGTTGATGTAGGTCGTGAGGAAGCCCTGGGCGTCGAAGTGGCCGACGAAGACGGCGAAGCCGCTGAAGACGACCACGATGCCGAAGAAGACGAGGGCCGCGTACGTGGCGTACGGCTGGAGGGGGGCCCGGTACGGCAGCGTGTCCCGGCCCACGCCCTGCGCCTGCAGCGCCCGGTGGAACTGCACGTAGGCCACGCAGATCGCGCCCCAGGTGAAACAGTTCGAGATGGCTGTGATGCTGGAGAACCACTGGAACACCGTCGACCCTCGGCTGGAGATGTTGAGATAGGTCAGACACAGCACGCAAGCGGTGAATAAGGTGCTGACATAGGGCACTCCTCTGAAACGGGGGGGCCGGAAGCGGGTTGGCAATGGTCAGTCGGGGTTGACTACTCCACACCGATAGGGTCTGAGCCAGGGGGCTCAGCTAGGTACAGTACTCACCTCTTCGAGCAGCGCGAGAAGACCCGAGGCGCGTGCCGGTTGTCGGCCAACGCGTACAGATACCGACTGCCGGCAAAGAGCCATTCGTTGGCGGCGGAGATCGCCGACGAGAGGATCACGGCATTGATCACCGACGGGAGCCCGCTGATCCCGGCCTTTGTGATTGCGATCACCCACGGCGACTGCGCCGCGCCCGGCGCGTCACTGGCCTGGGCGCTGAGCAGGTGTGGCTCATCGTAGGGCACCAGACAGCCGACCGCGAGCGTGCCCAGCACGAAGAAGAACAGGATGCGCCAGAAGGTGCGGCGCACCGCTTTGGGGATGTTGCGACGCGGGTTCGTGGCTTCGCCGGCCGCCACGGCCACGAGCTCGATCCCACCGTAAGAGAACGAGGCGTTGATCAGCACGGAAAAGAAGCCGAGGAAGTGGCCCAGCGAACCACCGGCCAGATATTCTTTCATGGCGCCGGGGTGCTTCCAATACCTGAAGCCGAGTCGGTCATGTGTCGGCCCGCCGCCGAGGTCGATGACCAAGGACAAGACGAGCAGCCCCAGCAAGGTCACCACCTTGACGATGACGAAGATGAACTCGGCCTCCCCGAATATCCCCACAGCAATACAGTTCAGCAGGACGATGCTCACGATGATGATCGTGATCCACACTCCCGGCTGGGAGAAGTGTCATGAAGTCAGCGTCCGGGGGACTGAATTGGGGAAAGGGAACCGTACATTGACCTCGTCGGTCCAATACTTTATCACGACCGATGCAGCGGAGATGTCACTGCACGCCGAGAACGTCGCCGCATACCAGCTCTATCTTGAGGGGTCAGCGATGCCATCCTTATCGACCGTAGCAGCCTCACTCACGTTGTAGCCAATCGCGAACCCAAGTGCATCGTCGACGTATCGACTACAAAACTGAGGAATGGCGCCGGGGAGTGGAAGCCAGCTTGCCATTTCGCCGAGACCCGTCATCTAGGAATACTCAGCGGCCTTCCGATAGTAGCTGGACCGATCGCGGAGTCGGAGGTCAAACTCACCATCGCGTACAAGAACATGCCCGTCACGCTGTATCCGAGCAGCAGTGAGAGCGGGCCGCCCCGAGTCAACGCAGTGCCGATACTCAGGAAGAGACCCGTCCCGATGGTCCCGCCCAGGGCCATGAACTGGATGTGCCGGGACTTCAGTCTGAAGTGGGTCGTGAGCCTCGTCAACCTCTCAGCGGACGGAACCCAGATACGCACCCTCGATGAACACTGCCATCCTCACGGTGAATCGCGCTGGCCTCGATGTCGGTGGTAGGCGCATCGACAACACCATTCTTCTCGGGGACTGCCATGCTGGGGCTACCGGCCGCGGCGGACTTTGCCTCGCGCTCCATAGGGACCTGGTGGAACTGAATGTTGTATCCTGCCGAAGATATCTCATCGAGAAGCTCCGATCGTGGGCATGCAACTCATCTGAGGACGTGATTATATAGGAAACCTGAATGCGTTGATGGCCCAATCGCCCTCTCTCGATACGTTCCCTCCAACCTTGGACATCATTACTGGTATGGATGGCTCGATATCGTTTATCAAGATGTATAGCACGACCTTTATCAACAAAGTGATAACAGGATAAACGTAGAGATAAGGAACCTGGTGTGTATAGTCAGTAGCCCACGATAGCCAGGAAGATCAGAAGATCTGGTTGTTGTGGGTGCGGTTCTAAGGGTTCTATCCATACGGGGATCAATTGCTAATCAGTCCGGACGGCATGGCTGTGTGTATGACACACTGCACTGCATGCACTCCGCGAAGTACAGTACAGTACAGTAAAGTACTGCCAAGTAAGGGTCCGATATCCTCCTACCGGGAAACGCATGCATTCCTGAGTCTCCTCGGGACTCCAGCTGCAGACACTGCCCATACTTTCCACTCGGTGGATGAAAGCTCTGGCTCACCGGTCCTCAGGTCAAGATCAATGTGTTTCTCACCGACATGTCGGACTTTCAGATCATGAACGAGGCGTACGCCAGAAACATGCCCGCTGGTGTTATGCCCGTGAGTTCTCGATGGCCCTTCAAGAAACCCAAACCGAAACTCGAGGCTCATCCACCTATGCTAGGTACGCACCTGTGTGGCGGTCAAGGAACTGCCCTTTGGCTCGGATGTGGAGATCGAGTGCATCGCAGCATCGGAAAAAGCACAGTAATCGTAGATCCCGGGGTTGCGGGCGGAGGAGCAGAGATCACCTTGGGGATGGCCATCGCTGGTTTGGGTGTGCCTCGCAGCAGCGATGTTCCAAAGCTGCCTTGGCTACACGATGAAGAGTTGCTTGAGAGACGACTAGCCAGATCATAGACATGTAGGTTCTCCTGCGCAGGACCAATGCCTAGAGTCAACTCCAATAGTCACGGGGGTCCCAACTTGACCTTCCAATGTCGGATTTCTTTCTTCCATATCACGCGCAGATTGCTACTACTGTAGTGCTCCCCAAGAAAAGGATGACACCAGCTTCCCGACTGTTCAGTCCACCCTGGTTTTTTGCAAGTGGTCGGCCACATTCGGCGAACCCTCACGACCATCAGGGGTGCAGATGAACTTGCCTCGGTGAACAGCCCCGTTCTTCCCGTGATGAGCTTTCTTGCCTCCATCGCTTGGGCTGTCCTCACAGCCAAGTCTCCTCGGGCCGTTTGCGGGTCGGAAATACCAGCCGTGTTGATCTCCCCAAGACCTGTGCTCTGGATCCTTCGACCAGCAAAGGCTCCGAGGCAAGAGCATTCCCTACCTTGTTGCCCACGCTTGAAGATGCACGATGAGGGATGTCCGCAAAGCTAGTCCATCGACATGGCTGAGACCACGTTCTGTGTGCCCTTTTTCCACTCCCGCCTCGCACCCTGTATCTCCTCGAGTGTTTGTGCGAGCACGCATTGACGCAGGCAAAGGCTGAGCGGTGTGCACCCGTTCTAATTAATGGATGGACCGATTTCAATGGACACTACTGGAGCGAGCCACGGGGCTGTTTCCACCCTAGCAAAATCGTGAAATTGTGATGGGTAGCCCCAGGGCTTCATGGAGAGGTTACCATATTCGTCGATTTGGTTCCTTCGAGCATCTATAAAGCGATAGCTGGAAAGGGACGTACAGGTAGCCAGGGAAGGGAGGCAGCGGTCGGACGAGCCCCGACGGGACGCGATTGGGATAGAAGGACATAGAACGCAAGAAAGCTGCTTTGATATGCACAATGTATATCGTTGGTCACCCAGTCAATGCCATCAAATGTTAGAGCGAATCAACTTGCCATTGCTGATAGAAATCGGTGATGTTGTAATAACATGAAGAACAAGTCCAGGCATTTGCTAGCAATATCTGGACAGAGGCGAATACTCAGACATGAGGAAATCAGAAAAGAACATGTTTGAATACAGATCGGTGCAGAAACAGCAACAGGCATAACCGAAAGAGAGACTGAAAACACACAGGATTCATGGCAATCAATGCTGCAGTAGATCCCTTGACACCTCGTAGCACTAGCATACCAAACACCCATGCAAGCGCCCGATTGAGTTCTGGGATATGACCAGAAACTACAGGGCTTTGTTCAACACTTTGCGGCGAGGATTCTCCCCCTTCAAATATGCCCACCCGGTCACGTAGTGGTAAGCCCGAAGCTCCAGGTCTTCATCGTTTGCTACTTCCTCGTCCCACATTGGAATGTCCGCGAACCCCATCTCCGCCCCTTGGAGGTCATGTATATGTACGTGTGGCTTCTTTCTATGATATTCCCGAGATTCAGTCACCTTATTGCGGAGAATATCAAGAATAGGCGCCCACCACCCGTCTATAAGCACGATTCGGAGTAGAAATAGTCCCTCCAAATGGGGTCCAAGGGCGTTGCACCACTGCGCAAGCTCGTTTTCAGTCAGCGAGGTATTCGTCATTTGGAAAACTTTAAGGTGCTGCCACTGGATTCCTTCCAGAAGCGGGCTCACACTCAGCTCATCCCCTTCGAATCGACCTGGAACCTCTCCATCCCCATTTAAGGAGACAAAGACTTGTTCAAGTTCAGACCCCAAGAACATTGCCTTGAGATATTCCTTGAAGTGAGACGTCGTGTTGGCCGCCGGCGGTGATGGTGGCACGCTCATATCCTCGTCGACATCCATGGGTTGATTCAAGGTAACTACTTGGAGGTTCTGGAATGTCGTTCGTATGTCAGCCCACAACCTCTGATCCGAGAATCTAGATATGGGACCCTGAACCGGCATCATAGCAAATCTGTCTCCGGACGGAAAGCAGCCAACATGTAAGTTACGAATCATCTTGCCAGCCCTCTGAATCGCGATTGGTAGTTCGAAGAGGATCTTGTCGGGAACCAGAGGGTTGCAAAGATGAATCTTGATCTCATCCCATCTCAGAGGATGGCATAGAGCCTCCAGGAATCGATAACGGTCCAACAAAGCATACCGGTGAGGAAGTGGTGACTCCGCTGCGTCGCAAAACCCCACGGACTCTGCTCTTGGCATTCGAGCAAAGCACGCAGCTAAGGAGGCGACAAATGACCCTGACCTGACGAGCTGCACTTGAAGGGAACGTTTTCTGATGTTCTCCTTCTGCGCTTGGCGAAACGTAGCGCGTAGCTGTCCGACAAGTGATTTATCAATTATGATTCCGTCGTTCTTCTTGGTGAATATGTAAGGCTTCATCGCGAGTGACATGTGGTAGAAGTTAGCCTCGACAAGTCCGAGTGCGGTAGAGGGTACCAGGTGCTGTGCGTCCTGGTTGTGGGAAGATTGTGAAGATTCCGACTGTTTCACCTCCATCTTCCAGACTTCGAGTTCGCTTGCCAGTATACTGTGATGATGTCTTGCAAACGATTCACAATCTGTCTCATGATCTTTGACCCGGAAGGCGAGACCGACTTTGATGCCCAGAATCCCTTTGGCCACGTGTGGACATCGCGACAGATGGACAGCTCTATCAAGGGACTCCTGGTCTAGATTGACAAATAGGATCGGGCACAGTAGCGGTGAGGCTAGATCATTGAACACATGACAAACAAGGCGGATGTCCGATATTGTTTTGCGGTATATCTGGGCCTGGACTGGATGCAAATTCCGACCGATATAGCCCGGTATATCCTGAGTCCACCAAATTATCCGGTTTTTGTTCACCCTAAAGTCTTGAAAGAACTCAAATATCTGAAGGAGCAAGTCGTCAGGGAGATCAAGTATAGTAAGAGGTCGCATCGACGGCCGTGAAAGTTCCATCGCTCGAGTTCGTAAGGCCAGGCGGTGATTTTCAAGCTTGAGGAGGATGGAACACTCCGTGCATGGCTCTTTTTCGCAGTATTCGTGCTTCATGATACCGATCGAGTCATGGTCATCTTCTGAGTCGGCTTGGGGAGTGCTTGCCTCAGAGTCAGCACCCGCTTCCGAGGCTTCTTGCGCTGCACTTTCTTTGGGTTCATGACTATTGTCTGCGACGCGTTGTTGATTGTTTTGCTCGGGTGCGTCTTCACTGTGCCAGTCATCAAGTTCGACACTCTGGCATTGATCTCCCTGTTGTGCTTCTCCGATTTCGACGGTTCTTCCTGAGCCACTCGCCCTTCCCGGAATCCCTCGTTCTTCCTCACTGTGTGCATCGTCTTCTAGGTCCGGGAGATCGGTCTTGTCGTCGCCAATAATGGAGATGTCCGAGTCGTCGTTGGAATGATAGCTCTCGTCATCTTCAGCGTCTCTTTCCTCAATCCAATGTCGGGCGCGGATGTCCTGCTCCAAGTCATCGATCTCGGATAGCAGCAGATAGATCTCATCGAACGTAAGAATTTTGGGTGATTCAATATCGAATATACAGTCCAACTGTTCCAGCAAGTTCTCTCCGCGCTGAACAGTGATGTGGTAGCAGCATAGCATGATGAGGGATCAAAGGTAGGGGTGAGGCAAGGTTGGGAGAAGCTAAAAGAATGAGACCTGGTCTAGAAGTGAATCAAGTCTGATCACAGACTAAAAGTCTATAAGTATTTCTTAGGCTTAGTGAACCTGAGACGGTGGGAATAAATGTGGAAGGGTGAGAAGAGGGAAGGGAGACAGATGGGTTAAGAGAAGAGCGAAGAGAAGGGTCATGAGAAGGATGATGAGAAGGATGATGAGAGCGGATGAGAACTGTGAAGAGGAGAGTGATGAGAAGGAAGGAAAATAGAGGGGAGGGAGAAGTATGATGAGTAGAAGGTCGCGTGGTGGATGTGAATATGGTGAGGTACCTGTCAACACAAACAAACAGCCAAATCACCTGACTCAGACTTTGAGCTACACCATCACTTCTTGAAGAGGCAAAAGCTTGGTGCGGTCTCAAATATCCTGGACGCAGTTCAGGATAAAGATATATGGCGAATGTGCTCTGGTTGATCAAGGCTTTGATGGCTCGAAGAACTTCGCCTTACCACAAAAGAGCTGCCCCAGTGTTTTGATGCCAAAAATGACAGTGAAATGTAATCTCGCCCTAGGACGTATGGACTAGGTAGACTTCTTGATGACGATTGTTCCTACTTTGTTGGCGATGGGAATCCAGTATCAGCCAATAAAACATCGATTGAAATCATCTATCAAAGTCACCTCAAGTATCAAAGGTGCCCAGTGATCATTCCTCACTAGACTCAGATGTGTATTGCTTTCAATCAAAGTAACCGACATATTCAACAGCTACCCCACCTCTCTGCTGTGGAGTCCTCTGAAGGTGTTAATAGGAGAATAGCCAGTTTTTTAGAGACTATATTATCTGGATTACTGCTAAAAGTGCCGACATTCGTCCATCATCACTCTGCTGAACTTAGGGATGCTCTTTAGCAGCCAGTTCAAGGAAGTCTCTATGATCATAGACCCATCTCTCATTCATTCCATTGCTCTCGGGTAGTTTTCGCCAATTCAGAATCGGTCTTCTCATTAGGCTGATCGAACACAGCGAAGCCATCAAGTAGACCCGGCACGTGATGCAAAGGGACGCGCCTCGCCCACAGGTACTGCTTGTAACAGCACCAAACTACCAGAAATGCGTCGCAATTACCTATCACCCATAATCTCGGTTCACCTGCACACTCGAGCTGCGGGCAAGAATCCCCGACAACGTCTGCCTCACGAGTACTCCGGATATTCCTCCGCTGTCCACACCTTCCACACAAGTCTTTCCCCGCTGACGGCGCCAGTTCTCATCACATCCAACGCGGTGCTAGCCCTCTGCAGAAGCGAAGCGCCCTCGATCTCTCGATACTTGTTGGGCTCGAGGCTACCCGACGCGAGAAGAGAGGGTATAATATCGGGCAGGAGGTGGTCCTTCAGGAATGGATTCTGCTCGAAGATTAGTTTTGAAATGTTAAAACGTGAGTTCGAACCATACCGTCTCGAATGTATAGCTAACAATACTATGGACTTCAACGCCAGGCGCCCAGGATACCTCTCCCTCGACATGAGCGGAAAGCTGCACGCCGGCTGGGTCTGAAGGCGACCGAAGCACGACAGGAAGAACAGCTGCGACAATGGAGCCAGGAAGGGAGGCGACCTTCGCAAGATGCTGCAGTGACCCAGACTTGGAGCTCACGCAATCGACAGCGCGTACGGGTGCTGAGAGCTTGCTCTTGTTCACGATTTCCAGAATAGAGTCGACGACATTAGGCTCGCGGTAGTCGACGACGTGCTGGGCACCATAAACCTTGAGCTTTTCGTGGTGCTGTGGCGATGCGGTAGCGATGACATTCTTATAACCCCAGTGGTGGAGGAGCTGGATGGCGTACTGGCCGACCGAGCTGCCTCCTCCCCAGATGACAATCGGACCATCTGGACCCCTGGGTGAGAATCCCGAGGGACGCGGCCAGGGAAGCTCGAGTTTCAGCTTTTCTGTCAAGGCTAAATACGCAGTGGAAACATTGGTTGGCACAGTAGCGGCCGCGAGCATAGATATGCCAGAGGGAACCTAGATTTCCTTCAGATGTGGATAAAGGAGACACACGGTCAACGGAGATCATCATACCTTTCCGAATAGATGCTCTGGGGCAGTAACATACACCTGCTGCCCCTTCTCCTTCTCATTGTGGAAGAAAAAACCGAGGACCCGATCACCAACCTGTAGGCGTTTGACCCCTGGTCCAGCTGCCACTACAGTGCCGACACCACTGTCACCCAGACTTTGAGGGAACTGTGCCATCAACCCTGCGTCGACTTGGTAGACATCCAGGGGCGCAGATACGACCCATTCAATGCGGACACGAATCTCATAGTGTTGAAGCTCGGGCGTCGGGACTTGCTGAATGGTTAGCGGTTCTTTGATATTAGTCGCAATGACTGCAGGGTGAGATGCCATGGTGCATGCAATGTTCAATTAAATGTACTAAGAGTGATGGGTTGCATTAACGTGGGTGGCAGAATTGTGACCTTATATACAACTTTCGAATTATTATCCTCTGAAAACTGTTTCAATGTATCCAGTTCCCTCGAAACGCCCCACCGGACATGACTTATTCATAGTAAGTATAGAACATCGGCATCGATCCAGTTAAACCTTAACAGCTACCTTATCTCCGGTCCACTGAGAGTACGGGAGGCCGGCAAAACTTCGGATTACAAATCACCTCAAGCTGAGGTCAATCAACCTTGTGGGTGGCGCAGATGTCACACCAGTACTTGCCATTCTCTCCTTTCGCCAATTATCGTCTTGGAGTAAGCATCTGATCCAAGCCATCTTTCTTGACCCATCCTAACACCGAGGATTTAGGCTGTGAACGACCCACGATACTCTCTACACTTCTCAAGCCTCAGCAATGATGGATGCAAAGTCCGAGATCAAGCATCGGCGTAACATACGACACGCGACCACAGCCAACGCACCCGAGGATGATTTACTCGGGGTCACCGACCCGGCTCTGCGGCGACGCGTACAGAATCGTCTAAACCAAAGAGCCTACCGTAAGGCTCTCAGCCATATTCTTACCACTAGTTATCGATGCTGACGAAGTCCAATGGTCTGCACCAAAGGCCAGCGACGAAACCCACGGAGTAGGGATGACAAACTGCTTTCGAATCGTAAACCAATCCGTGCGGTTGCCGCTCTCGATCAACCTCGAGTTCAGAGACCACCTCAGCTATCCAGCGACCACGACTCTATTTTCTCTAACCTCCCCGAGGTGGATCCCACGCGATACACATACGCCCCTCCCAATTTCCACCTTCTAATGGTTCAATTTGAGAAACGCGCCCGAGCTGCCCACGCTATGGGTTCACCCCGGACAGATCTCCTCCTCAGCCTGAGTCGACTCAACGTAATCCGCGCAGCGTACCAAAACGCAGTCACCGCCGGCATGACCATCGAATGGATGTGTCGCGATGACGCAGTTTCAATCTTTAGTATAACTGGCCCTCATTCACCGCAATATACCTTGAGCACCATCCCGGAGCGGTTGCGGCCGACCCCCGTGCAGCGCACTGTGCCGCATCACCCTTGGCTGGACATCTTTCCCTTTGAGCAAATGCGCGATAATTTGATTCGCGCGGGGGATTTGCTCGATGGTCATGGGTTCTGCCATGATCTAACCGCTTTCTGGGATACGCGCAGCAGCAGCGCAACATTACTCGTCTGGGGAGATCCGTGGGATCCATCGAATTGGGAGGTCACGGAGGAATTCGCGCGGAAGTGGGGGTACTTTCTTCGCGGATGTCCGGACATTCTTGTTTCGACGAATAAGTGGAGAGCTCGGAGGAATGAAAAGCCTCTCGCTTGGCGGAGGGTGTTTGGCGATTATCTGGGGTAGCTGAGATGGTCTGATTGTCCATGCATGGAGTGTGTTATTTGTTCCATTGGTCGAGAGGACGGAGAGTTTGGTTTCTGACATCATCGATTGTCTGCTCTGCCACTTGATTCTGTTACTCGTACTAGGTACCGGAGTGTGCCATGGGAATATGCTCAGGCCCACTCTAAAGTCCGATGCTTACATTTCGAGTCTCATTGGTCGGATAGACCCGCTCTCTTACAGCGAGGCGGATGCAGTGCACGGCGGGAGGTGCAGGCCCGGGGGCAAGCATCTAGTCCCTATTTTAATGCTAATCTCCGTTACCTAGTCCGATATTGTGAGTATATCAGGCGAGACCCTGGCAACAACATGGCGTCGATTGATTTCTCTCCATCATCTTTCATCATCACATCAAATGTCTCTTATCATGACATACCAGAAAGCAGTCATTATCACCGCACCCCAGCATGCAAAAGTGGTCGACGACAGACCTATTCCGAGGTTGCGCGATGACTGCATCCTAGTCAAAACCGTCAGTGTCGCACTGAACCCCACCGACTGGAAGCATATCGATAACCTCGCCAGTCCTGGGGTGCTTGTCGGGTGCGACTACGCCGGCATCGTGGAAGCCGTTGGCAAGGCTGTGAAGAAACCATTTGCCAAAGGCGACCGCATTTGTGGATTCGTACACGGATCCAATGCCGTCCAGCCCGAGGACGGGGCTTTCGCGGAATACATTGTCGCTAAGGGAGATCTCCAGTACAGGATCCCTGAGGCCATGGCCTTCGACGAGGCTGCAACGTTAGGCCTGGGAGCCATCACTGCTGCGCTGGGACTTTACCAGAGCCTCCGTCTTTCACTACCCACTTCCCCAGTGCAGGAGAAAATCCCAGTGCTGGTGTACGGAGGATCCACCGCGACAGGGACCTTGGCGATTCAGCTTGCCAAGCTATCGGGGTATACAGTCCTGACGACTTGTTCTCCCCGCCACGCCGATCGTGTGAAGTCCCTCGGCGCGGACGCGGTTTTCGACTACAACGATCCCAATGCCGCCAACGCAGTCAGAAAGCATACCAACGACAGTCTTACTCTGGCTTTCGATACCGTGTCGGTCGAGAGCAGTGCGAGATTTTGTGATCTGGCTCTTTCCTCGCAGGGCGGAGACTATAGCTCCCTGCTACCGATCGCAATTGAACGGGAGAATGTACGGGATCGAGCCACGATGGCTTACACTGCATTCGGTGAGAGATTTATCTTTGGGCCCAAGGAGATTCCAGCGCGACCGGTCGATAGAGAATTCGCGGAAGCTTTTACTCCTATTTTCGAGGACTTGCTAGCAAGTGGCAAGGTCAAGCCCCACCCGGTTCACATTGGTGATGGTGGGCTGGATGGTATTTTGGATGGGCTGCAGCTGTTGAGGGAGGGAAAGATTAGTGGCGAGAAGCTTGTTTATAGTATCACAGACAGCTAAGGAGCTTGGCTCCATAAAGATAGCCAACGTAATAGATGAATGTTTATTCTTCTTGGAAGGAACTAATTAAAAACACACTTGAGAGTATCCTTAATCGAAAAAAAATCCTCGTACGACTACAGTAAACCTTACCCTGTCACCAGTTTTCCAACGTTCTATATTTCACTGCGTTTCAGGGGACAAGTTCTCCCACCTTCAATGGTGCCACTCGCAGGACAATATATATACGAAATGTTTCGCGGGAGAACTGCCAAGACTGTTGCCCACCTTCTGTCTGAATTGGCAAAGTTCAAAGCCTGCCAACATCCAGTCGAAGGTCGGATTGAGTTCAGATCCGGCGCACTTCCCCTTCCACAAGTCTTTATTATGAATTGCACAGGTCGCCATCGGCGACGTCTTCGAGGGGCTAGGCTCGGAGTTGGGTGCGCACCCGATCGTAGTACGTGGGGGTATATCGGGGGGTCGCAGCGAATCAGAGCTGGAATGTAAGCATCCCAGCGGGTGTTATCTCCGACACGCCAGAGGAAGCCCAGGACAATGGTACACTGCACAAAGGATTATTTTCCAAAGCCAATTTGTTTATGAGGAGGAAAGAAAAATGGACGTTGTGATTTATCAGTCAGAGATTCTTGTCGAGTTTGACGAGTTTGAGCTTGTCTATCCTCCTGAATGTTTGTGAACGTGGTCATTGTCGCTGAGTTCAATACAAATTGCGGTTAGATCTGAGACGGGTTTGTTAGCACTTCTAGACGTTGCGGTACATATCATCAACTTGGAAGCCTCACTTCAACCACTTGTCTCGATGGTGTAGTTGGTTATCACGTGGGTCTCATACAGCAGTATGACTCGGAAGATCACTTCTGGGCGATCCCAAGGCCGGGAGTTCGAACCTCCCTCGGGACATTTCTTTTTGGTCTTGGTTGCCTTGTTGGCCCCACATGGCACCGGATGGGGATGTGGGACAGCCTCGAGTGTGAGGCGGTCTTCTGGAAGAATTCTTCATGGCGATGAGTGGGCGACCCCACCGGCAAGCCGGTCGTAACCGGACTTATGGTCGCGGTCTCCGAGCGTGCTAACCATGATGTCAACTGCCTTTGCCGAAGAGATGAATATATTCTTCGCAATTGCGCAAAAGCAACAAATTTCGTGTTCAGAATCTGAGATCTTCGATATATCAATCTAGCCAATTGCACCAGCACGCATCCTCGAGTCAAAGTCCTCACCATCTGCACCCGACCATTCTCACGCTGCATTGCAATCCAATTCAACCAATGGTCCGCATCCTCATCACCGGCTCCGCCGACGGCTTCGGCCTGGAAGCCGCCCGCCAACTCGTCCAGCGCGGCCACACCGTCTACCTGCACGCACGCAACCAAGACCGCGCCGCCCACGCCCAAGCCGCCTGTCCCGGCGCCGCGGGAGTGTTGGTTGCCGACCTCAGCAACCTCGAAGCAACGCGCCAGTTGACCGAAGAAGCCAACGCCATCGGCACATTCGACGCGGTGATCCTCAACGCGGGAATGCTCTCCGGGCCCTTCCGCAAAACCCCGGATACCGGCATCCCAGCCATGGTGTTTGTCAACGTCGTGGCGCCGTATATCCTTGCCTGCTTGCTGCATCGCCCGAAACGGCTGATCATCATATCCTCGCAGTTGCACCGCAGTGCCCGGAATACTACCGTGGAGGATATTTTCTGGCTGAAGCGCGGCGAGCGCACCTTCCAGGATTTCCAGGCGTATTGTGATTCGAAGTTTCATGTTATGTTGATTGCGAATGCATTTGCGCGATTGTGGAAGGGGACGTCGAGTGTGATTTCTGTGCATCCGGGGTGGGTGGCTACCAAGTTGGGGGGTGCGGGGGCGCCGGATCGGTTGGAGGATGGGGTCGAGACGTATGTCATGCTGGCGGAGGGGGAGTATGACCAGAGTATCACGGGGGCGTACTTTGAGCCCAAGAGGAAGCGCGGTACTGCTCTTCCGGCCACGGAAGACGTTGCGCTTCAGGGGAAAGCTGTGAGAGCCTGTGAGGAGGTCACGGGCTTGAAGATGCCGGCTTAGCGAGGCCTTGGCTTCTCTGGCTTGCTGTTCGTAGGAGAATGTATTATATATTATAATACTTATAGCATAATCCAGCTGTGAAAGGCTATTCCTCAATTACCTTAACAAAAATCCTCTTCGGCTTGCGTGTTACCAACATGCATAAAACATGTTTTGAGGGGAATGCCGGTAGAAAACCTATCTAAGACTCGCCACGGACTTGAGGTTCTTGGAGTAAAGTGCTGGCATTAAGTCGTAGTGCTGATTCACTCGAATGCTCTGAGAGTCCTGTGATAGTATCAGAATAAGCTAGGAATACCTGTCAAGACTGAAAGAGAAATTAATTGCCAATTTGCACTAGAGTACTGTAATTCTTGATAGCTTGGCTGCCGTCCCACTGTGAATACTAAGATTGATGAGATTCGAGACGCCCGGCAGTCAGTGACTAAATATAGCATTTCAGCGGGGATCGTTTGACATAGTCGCGGTCGACCGCATTTAGGAAGATGATTGCACGAATCCGGCAGACTAATGCCGACCCCTGTAACAGTCTTTGTTATTGTCATTGGACCAATGCACCCTGCAAGTTAGGCGCACATGCAGGCGATGTCACTGCATTTGGCCAGCTGAAATGAGGGGTCCGTGGTCGCGTACAAAAATTCCTCCCCTTCCCCAGTCATCATCCACAGACCTTGAGTTCTTGTTTACCTTGTCCTACACGCGGAAGATCACCACATGGTGGCTCCCACGCCGCAATCAGCAGATAATCTGTCACATGATGAACACCTCAACAGCGCTGTTTAACAACTCCACAAACGCGGGGCTCCAGATTGGCCAGAACAATAGCAATGTTGAGTTCCACAATCATCACGGTAAACCCTTGCAGTCACACCAGCTTCTCACTATGCTGACATCACTCGACCTGGTCGTTTCTCTTTGCTCTAGGACCATCGCAAGCCTCACGCAATGAAGCGTGTCTACGGGATCTTCGGATAACCAATCCTCGCGATGACAAGGCCCGAATCCAGGATTTCAAGGGAGGCCTGCTTATGGACTCATATCGTTGGGTTTTGAGCAACCACGAGTTCAGAAAATGGCGAAATGATGGCGGGCCCGATCGTGATGCCAACGACCGACTGCTGTGGATCCGCGCTGATCCCGGCAAAGGAAAGACCATGCTACTTTGCGGTATCATTGATGAGTTGACCAAGAAACTGCCTGAAACCCGCGCATTGTCGTATTTCTTCTACCAACAGAGTGATGCTCGCCTCAACGATGCAACATCCGTTTTGCGAGGTTTGATTTTCCTCCTCGTGGATCAGGGGCCGAATCTGCTCTCCTATATCCGGCCGCGCTACGACGTGGAAGGGAAAACGCTCTTCGAAGATACCAATGCTTGGTACGCTCTATCGGAAATGTTTCTCGAATTGTTAGAGGACCGAGATTTAGAGACCACGTTGTTGATCATCGATGCTTTGGACGAGTGCAGCACCGGCCTGCCGTTGCTGCTTGAGCTGGTGAAACGGTCAACGGGAAATCCTCGGGTCAAGTGGATTGTCTCGAGTCGGAATTGGCCTGATATTGAGAAGCATTTGACGGCTACATATTGCTCTACTTTGTCTCTCGAGCTGAACGAGAATTCTGTCGCTGCCGCTGTGAAGACCTATATTCAGATTAAGGTGGACTTCCTCACCGCGCTGAATGGATACGACGAGAACACCAAAGACTTTACCCGAGAGTATTTGACGTCAAACTCTAATGATACATTTCTCTGGGTTGCCTTGGTCTGTGAGAGGCTTGCGAAAACATCTGTGTGCGACGTGGAAACCATTCTCACATCATTCCCTGCGAGTCTCGATGATTTGTACAAGCGCATGATGGGCGACATTGAGAACTCAGAAAGTAGACAGCTGTGCCAAGTGGTTCTCGCCACGGTCTGTACCGCATACCGCCCTCTGGCAGTTGAAGAGCTACCAGTACTTACCGATCTACCCTCACGAATCTCGACAGATTCTCGGATGATAGAGCAGATTATTAAGCTCTGTGGCTCATTCTTATCTATTCGGGAAGACACTATTTACTTTGTCCATCAGTCTGCGAAGGATTTCTTGCTGACATCCAATCTTATAATACCAACCGGTCTTGGGATGGAACACGGTAGAATTTTCTCTCGGTGTATCAAGGAAATGAATCAGGCACTTCAACGTAACATATACAATATTAGAAATCCAGGATGTCGAGTCGAGGACATCTGTCGCCCTTCACCTGACCCCTTGGCATGAGCACGTTACTGTTGCACATATTGGATTAATCATTTATTAGAAGCAGATCCTAGGAAAACGGTTGACCTGTCTACAGATGGTCCGTTGCAGCTCTTTCTGGAACAGAAGCTACTTTACTGGCTCGAGGCTCTTAGCATTCTCGGGCAGTTTACTGGAGGCATTGGAGCTATCCTCCTACTTAATGCCTTTCTGGAGGTATGCATACCCAATGGAATGAAGAGAAGAAATCTGACTATGGGCACTTGTCTGTACTCTGTTTAGAAAGCAAAGTGCGCGGACAAATTGTTAAACCTTGTAAATGACATTTCCCGATACATGCGCGAGTTCAAGATTCCGATCGAAACCAGCCCGCTCCAAGTCTATAGCTCAGTACTCATTTGGTCCCCGAATCGGAGTTTGGTCAAAGCTCTTTACCAGCACGAAAGACCCACGTGGATCACCAAAACCCCCATGGTCGAGGAGCATTGGAGTCGTTGTATTCATACTATCGTGGGCAACGGCTGTGCGATTGAAGAAATCGGCTGGTCACAGGATGGTGACCGGCTGCTACGTATGGCAGCAGACCTGACTGTGAGCAGCTGGGATCCCGGAACTGGACAACATATTTCGAGCATCAAGCTGGAGAGACTTTCTAGCAGGTTCAACAGGTATCGCTTATCCCGACACACAGGCCGCGTCGCTTCGGTCTATGGGGATGATTGCGCCAAGATTCGTATTTGTGATGCTACCACCGGAAAGTGTATTCGCATACTCGACGACGAATCCTTGCATTCGCATGAGTTTGTGAGGTGGGTTGGAGATGGAAAGCATCTCGTCTCGGACTCAGATGGCGGAACTCAACTGTGGGATGTTTCAAAAACTCCTGATCAAGGTAGGCAACCTGTAAACCGCGATGGTGGTTTAAGCATAGAATGCTGGTCTCACGATGGCTGCTTGTATATTGCGAAACCCTCGTCTATCTCCGATCGCCACAAACACCGCCACACCATTTACGATAGTAGAACAGGAGTTTGCCTGAGGATCTTGGAAAATGATGAGTGGCTTCATGTCAACGCTGATTCATGGTCCCCCGATGGGAGTATGCTCGCATTGATATCGATGAACGGTGTGGTCATCTGGGATTTGGCCACGTGGGGACCCGGACATGTGCTAGAAGGAAACCCCAAATGGGTTAACCAGCTTAGCTGGTCGCCCGACTCAACAAGACTCGCGACAAGTGATTGTGATGGTGGAATTATGATCTGGGATCCAAAACTCGGAATATGCCTCTGGGCGGTCGAAAGAGACGAAAACTTCCCAACCAACCGCTTCTGCTGGGCTCCCGACGGAAATCGACTTGCGTCCTACTCGCGTTACTTGATCAGGATTTGGGACACAACGCCAACCAGAAACTTCCCAGCGTTTGCAGAGGATTATGCTCAGGTGGCAACAAGGACTCACCCACGTCACGGCCGGGCTTTGGCGTACGTTCGATCCCAATTCACGAAGTTACGAAGAAAGGCCCTGGACCAGAGAATTCCACGCTCACCAGTCAGTTATGGCTGGATTGTCTCCCTCTATTGGTCGCATGATAGAGCTCGTGTTGCGTCACTAACCAGCGAGGGTATTCTTGAGATCTGGAACACGGAGACTAGTTACAGAGTTTGCGAAATCGAAGATACGTTTTCAAGATGGACCATGGCAATGGCATGGTCATCAGATGGAAAACTGGCAACGTTTGACAAAGTGGTTCTTTGCGTATGGGATATTGTATCAGGAAAGCGGCTTTTAGCTCTATCACATAATACAGGCGGTATTAGTGAAGGCCCCGGGTCCTTTGCCTGGTCGCCGGACGGGTGCCAACTAGCATCAGCAAAAGGTGGAACCGTTAAGATCTGGGACTTCGCCACCGGACAATGCCTAAGGGAACTGCACCATTCTGATCTGCTCCAGACACTGGCCTGGTCTCGCGGCGGACAGAAAGTCGCATCAGTATCCCAGCGTGATGGCACAGTTAGAGTTTGGGATCTCGCCACGGGACAGTATCTTGAGCTCTGCGTCCCGACCGGACACAACTATTTATCTTTCGATCGTCAATGGCATGTTACATGGTCTCATGACAACAGTCGCATCACCTGGGGACCTAACAACTATGGCTTTCTCTATGACGCAGCCAACGGAATGCATATCGGCTCCCTAAAAGTCTATGTCCTGGAACACGATAAGTCTGAACAACCTATACTGGACATATGGGGGACCAGTCTTGTATTCAATATTTGGGACCTTATCACATCTAGATCCCGCGGTGCTGTCGATCAGTCAGTCTGCAGCATCACAATTTACTGGCTTGTTGAGAATGGTCTTGAGACGAGTTTGGGGGTCTTTGATTTGAAGGGTATGGGCTGTCTCGACGACGCTGCTGAGAACAGCCCTTGGGTACCAGTTGGGTACGGGATCTCCTTGGATAATTCGTGGATTACTTGGAACGGAGACAATCTGCTGTGGTTGCCTTGGCAATATCGACCTCCCTTTAAATCTTGCATCCGCCAGTCGGGAGCCAATGTGGCAATTGCTTGTTGTTCTGGTCGAGTCATCTTTCTCTCATTCGCCAAGAATCCACTTTCATGAGTACCTGTGGTGTCTATGTGCGCTTGAGTGCTCGCTGAACCAGTAAAAAATCTGGCACAAGTGAAGGAGTATACAGCGTTGTTAAGATTGAGGTCTCCGTCTTCTCTTGTTCCGGAGCTCATGTACAATCTCTCGAATGTTATTCTTGGCTCTGAGGTTGCTGCATAAATCTTCCCGTGTGTTAGGTGAGACATAAGTGTTTAGGCAATTGAGACCGCATAGCTATGGAGTTTCTATATCATATGTGAGATCGGCAGCTCTTCAAATTCTTCTGTCAGCTTTCGAACGGAACCAGGTTCTCCGGGCACAGCGAAAACGCAGCATCGCTAGAAGACGTGTCAGATATTTAAGTAGAGTATAGATTTGACCATGTTGTGGATATGGGTATGTCTCGCAAGAGTACTTCCGTAGGCTAACACCTCCTGAAGGGTGCCGGGTAGCAGCAGTGCCTGTTTTGACCCGAGGTCGCGCAGACGGAAACAGATTCCGTCTCGAACAACATGCCGTCATATTCTTACTACGAGCCGTTCTCAACCAAGTCCGGAAGCATCTAGAGCGACGTGATGATTATGCAAAAACGAGTCAGGTTAAGTTTTAAGGGCCTTCGTCGTACCTTCCCTCTGCCTTTTTGACACATATTCTCTAGAAATCAATCGCTTTGACAATCTCCCCTTCTCGCTGACACATAAGCATCCTGCTCTCCGTGTCAGAAACACGACCCTCACCGAAGCTTGCCATTTTCTGCATCTCTCCTTTCACCTACAAGCGCGATGCAAGATCCCTCGACAACAGCATGGGCAACGCCCATACCCGACCCCGCAATGATTGATCCTCACTGCGCGCAACAAGCACGCATGCGCAACTTCCTCGAGGAGAACGCCTGGCTCAACGCCCTCCCCATCTCCGCAAGTGACCTCAACGCTCTCCGTAGCATTCAAGGCCTCTACGTGGTGCGCATCGACAAGTGCCCATGGCTAGGCGCCAGTCTCCGCCTCTGGTTGATATGGGACTACGATCGTCTGTGGGGGAGTTTCACATTCACCCCTCTAGAGGGCGTCTTCCTCATTGACCCCGCGTTCACCATCGAGGACTGTGACCCAGCTACCGGCTTTAGTCCATCGTTGCCGGTCCGATGGATAGGCTGGGCCGGTTCTAATGGCTTTGATCGGGAGGATACGAGCACGATCCCGAGCGAGATGCGGATCAATCCCTGGAAGCAGACGCTTGAGGGCGAGTTTGGGTTCATGTGGGGATGCGGGTGGCCTGGTCCAGGGACGGTGAGTTTCCGGGCCACGCGCTTGCCCGGGGTTGAGGATCTTGGCTGGCAAGGCGTCATCGACCTTGAGGATATTGTGGGCGAATGGGCTCAGCGAGAGCCATATGGTGAAAAGGAGAGGATACGCCAGACGCTGTCACCGGAGGAGTTGGAGGCGGAGCTGCACGAGCGGGATGCTGCACGGGTTTGGGCTCGAGCTCGTGAGGAGAGTCTGAATGAGGATGCTGGTGAGGATGACGAACTATCACTTCTGTCCGAGTGCTTTTCGACCAAGGGAGATGTGGCCATGGCTGTGTTTGACCACAGTGGCAATAGTGTACAGATTCGTCTGCGGGTTCACACAAAGTACAATCGGGTCTGGGGAGAGTTTGACGGCGACTTCCGGACGATTTCCTTTGTGAACTCGCAGACTCGCGACAAAGCTCCAGCCCCAGTGAGAGACTCTAGGATCGGCGAGGCCGAAGACAGTCATCTTCCACCTTTGCTAGGCAGGTTGCTGTCGGAGAGGAAAACGCTCAGCGCCCAAGTTTTCGACAAGGTTGGCAATAGCATGCGGATCCGCTTGCGGGGCGATGAGAAGGTTGTTGTCTCGGGAGAATTTGATGGGGACTTTCCGACGCTTTCTCTGATGAAGTGGAAGATTGACGGCGGTGCTGAAAAGAGTGAAGATTTCTGATTCTCCTGATTCGGATGCACTCGTAGCTGATTCGGGTTTGGTAGCCATCGCCGATTATTAAACGAGCAGCGAAGGTCTGGCATCTTCTTTCCTAGAAGAAGAAGACTGTTAGCTCCACGTTGATAATACTATGATGTATCCGTGCTTTTCGTGTTTTAGGCTCGTCTGTTGTGAAATGTTTTGTTCTTTCAGCTGCGACTCATCTCCTAGTATTGCCCACCCCTTGCCTCTTAAGTTACTTCGCTTTAGCTGATGATTATACTCCACTCAGTAAGCAATAACCGGCGCAAATGGGTGGTGATACCTGAATGTCCCTTAATCGTATCCTCAGGCACAGGTGTCTAATGTCCCTCGTTCTTCTAGAGTCCAGGACGATTACCGGCGTCCCATGCACATTACAAGAAATCTAAGCTGCCATACGCAGCCAAGGATATCATCGGAGACCTCAATTCGCGAAGCCTTTTGCCCATACAATAGGACATTCCCACACAGTTCTTTGAGCTCCGTTTTTCTATCTAGAACATTTTCTATAAAGTCCTTTGTAACAATCTCTTCCTTTGTTCAGTCCTCTAACAATGCATTCAAAACAAAGCCAACAACGGACGATCACCATTACCCAAACAAGGAAAACCCCTCAACACAACCCCCTCCTCGCAATATATAACGCCTTTCCATCTCCAAGAAAATCTTTCCCCTCTCAAGCAACTAGAGGTGACCGCCACCATACCCATCCTCCGGAACCCAGTATGAGAAGCGTCCCACCCCTAGCTGCCCCGACCTGCACGGTCCAACCAAACCATGACCTCGATCAAGTATGCCCTTGATCTAAGCTCTCAATAATGACGAGCCTTGACGCTTAAAGCGTAAGGACCCGGCCTGCCTGCGCACCCGAAAGCCCGCACCCGAGAGGTAAGTATATACAAGTACTGTTGGCTCCATGCATAGCTACCATGGATCAAGCCAAGAGACACGCGGAATATTCAGGGAATGAAACGGACGAGATAAGCAATTATTCCCTACTAAGGGGGAAAACTGACACCTGTCGGTTCTCGATGGTTTATTTGCGCAGGAAGAAGTGGCCTGGGACGTTTGACGAAACGGTTAACAACATTATGTCGTATCCTCTTTCCATGTCATCTGCCATGTCGGATTGAATTGCCTTTTGGTGGTTTGATCTGGTTTAGTGGAATGATTTGGTGGGCGACGAGAGCAATTGCTCTACAGTTTCTGTATAGCTGGGGTTTTGGTTTGGATGGGCCGTGAGGGTCGGGGTGGTTAGGGATGAGAGGTTCTCTTGCGTTGTGCTCTGGGGGTATGGGGATGGCGAGGGTCGCCTCTTTTTGCGTTAGGTTGATTTCATGGTCTGGGGAGCCCCCCGTGTCTACAAGCTGACAGTGGCCATCTGAGAATGGAGACTCTGTTAGCGAAATAGACGCTACTGATAGCACAGATCGTAGTGCGGGAGCAACCTAGGAAACGTGCTGCGCGTATTTTGAACTACCTCGTAGCCACCTGAACCTGCCACATTCGTTGTGGGCCGTCGGACGTGCTGGTTAAAAGCCTAGAATCGTATGATGTTGCTCCTTCGGTGTTGAAGCTCTGCGATGCGTTGAGGATTGCGTTGAGGATTGCGTTGAGGATCTGTGGTTTTTCCCAGATCACGATTAGTTGATTGGTAGTAGCAAAGAAAGGGCAAAGGTGTTCACTGAGAGGGGTATGTCTGCGATGCAAACGATGGCAATGGTTGCTTCTCCTTCCCTCTTTTTGAACGATCTTGCGTGCGTTGATCAAAGAAGAAGAGCTGGCAAGCGATTTGTAGTGGATGCCAAGGTGTAAGTGGACGGAAAGATGGATGTACGGTCAACGATTCTCTCTCTTTATATCTCTGCCGTACACGTGAGTTTATACATTGCTAAGCCACTTACTCCATTGAATGAATGCCTCTTTCTATATTGAAGTATGTAAAGTTTGTAAATTTCGAAGACACGCTTAGGAAATACTTTGTCAAAATCACTTTTGATCATCTTTTTACTAGCACTATTGGAACTTAGAGAAATATTTCGACCTTTTGTTTAATGGGGGGTAGAATCTGTTCCTGCAAAGTAGCCACCAAATCCTTCCGTAGCCTTAGCCAGTTGCTCAGATAGAGATAGTCAAAATCACCAACATCCTCATCCTTGACGGATACTGCACCGGATACACAATTGTTACTCAAGGCAATCTATCCATGACGAGGGAAGACTTCCACGACCGCCTCCGTCTCTCCGCAAGATGTGTTTTCACCATACTATCACACAGAAGAGATCCATGGCTATCATATACACTGTTTATGCTCTGTACTGCACCTAGGAACTCAGAAAAGATCACGATACTACAACGGTGGAAACCCCTCCGTCCTCTTCGGGAAAAATGATGGATATAGTTCAACCTGCCGCTTGATTTGCTAATTACATATCGAGATACCATTTGTCCCAGATGTTCGATTAAGTGTATGCATAATACCTCAGTAAATACAGGAAGACAATCACACCTTAATAGGCAGACTCTTGAGCACCTCCCCCGCCGCCTCGCGACACAACTCCCCGACGGACATGCCACCCACCAGCTTGAGCACCGGCATGTCGACCTCCAACTCCTTGAGAAACCACGACCGGATCTCGACGGCAATCAACGAGTCCACCCCCAAGTTGATCAGCGGCTGACCGCGCTCAATCGACCCCTTCGCCGCCTGCAGCATCCGCTCCATCTTCCCGACAAACGCATCCTGGATCACGCCGTCCACCGCCTCCAAGCTTCCCGCCTCCGCGACCGCCTCGGCCAACGGCACCTGCTTGGCCGACGACGCATCCGTCACCACCGTCTGACTCTCCTCCTGCAGCGTATGCAGACTGAACCGCGGATTCTCCGCCCAGAACGCCTTTCCGGCCTCCTCGCGGAGACTGTGTCTATGCAATCCCGTGATCATCTCCGGCGCATGCCCGCCAGACAGGGTGGGGTGGCCGATGACGATCGCCTGGGCGAACATATCCCAGAACTCCGGTTCCGCGATGGGCATGTACTTGTACTGGCGGAGGGTCGTCTCATACACGCCCGTGGTGCTCACGTACCCGACGCCCAGCACCATGCCGATGTGGAACACCGAGGCCGCGAGCCCGCGGGCCCGCCGCTGCGCCGCCACGGTCGACATGAACAGGTTGGCCGCGACGTAGTTGCTCTGGCCCCGGTTGCCGACGATGCTGGCCAGCGACGAGAACATGATGAAGAAGTCCAGGTTTTCGGTGTGGAACAGCGTGTCCAGGTTCTTCGTGCCCTGGACCTTGGGGCCAAAGACGGTGCTGAAGTCGGAGGGCTGGAGCTCGCCGAAGGACCGGTCCGAGAGCACCATGGCCGCGTTCGCGATTCCGGCGATCCGCGGCATGCTGCTGGTTATCTCGCGGTGGATGGTGGTGAGTGAGCCCATGTCGGCGACGTCGGCTTCGAAGAGCCGGACGTTCGCGCCGAGTTGGGCTAGGTCGGCTAGCCAGGTGCTGGAGATGCGCGTGCGGTTGCGCGTGGTCAGGGCTAGGTGGCGCGCGCCGTGGAGGACCATCCATCTGCATAGTGATTGGCCGAGGCCGCCGGTGCAGCCGACTAGGAGGTAGGTTCTGTCGGGGCGGAAGAGTAGCGCTGGGTTGATTGGGCGGGTGATGGTGGGGATAGGTGTGGAGGGGGTGAAGGTGACGATGGCGTGGTAGGGAGGCGTGGGCGTGTTGGCCAGCTCTGCAGCCGGGATGGTCTCGAGGGTGATGTCGGCGGGCTGCTGCTGCGCCCAGGAAATGGCCTTCTGCAGTTTGGAGTTGTTCAGATTGGCCGTGTTGGCTGCAGGAGCGATGACGATGTCGGGATTGCGGATCTTGCACTGCGCAGGGAGGATGCGCTCCCACGGCACAGACGACTCGGCAAAGTCAACGAGGAGCTTGGTGGATGGGGGGATCTGCGTGCGGATGCTGCGCTCCGAGGCATAGGCATGCGTGCGCACATCAACCACCGTCATGCCTGCTTCCGCAGCCTTGCTCCTCAACACACGGCCGAGCTGCTCATCCGCATGGTGGAGAGCCAGGGTATCCGCAGCCGACAAGGCATGCAGCCAGTCATCAGCGACAAGCCCGAAAGCAATGGTCTGGAGGAGCGACGGGCTGGCGTTGTCAATAGGGAACACCATCTCCTCAGACGCAGTAACCACCGATCCTACTGAGTCGGTGAACGCAACAACCTGGACATCAGGCTTATCCAACAAGCTGCCCGATGCAATACAAACCGAGCTTCCATCCAGCAGCACCGCATTCACCAGCGTGTGCGCAACGTTGACCTCCACCGCAGCATCCTTCGCCACAACAGACGGCAGCGCAGGCGACAGCACATACCGATCCGCCTGCTTCACCAGCTCTAGCTTCTCCGATGCAGCCGTGCCCTGCACGACCATCTTGCGCGCATTCAGCTGGTCATTCAGCTGCTTGTCCGGAACAATCCGCGGAACAAGCCACTGTCCATTCTCGCGCACCAGCTCCGGCTCGCAGGCCCACAGGACGTTCTTGGTCGCCAGACGCGTCTGCGCGGCGAAGACCAACCGCACCAGCGCCTCAGCCACAGCCTTCGCAGCACCTGCATCCATCACGTCTTCGATGTCGAGGTGCTGGAACTGGATATGCGGCTGCTCCGCAGCGACCGCACGACACAGCCCGATGGCCATGTTGCCGTAGGGGTTCTTCTCGCGGCACTGGCCGGACACCCAGAGCAGCTGCCTGCACTCGGGGAGAGCGCGCTGCAGCGCCTCCAACTTGCGCGGGGTGAAGTCCTCCAGCACGGGGCGGTCGAAGTCCTCCAGAATCACCAACGAGGTAACGGAGACATCCGGCTGGACGAACAGCCCCTCCAAGTTCTCGACCAGTTGAGCCCTCCCCCCAGCCCCGAGGGCCTCGACAACCCGCTCCGCCAGACCCCCGTTCCGTCCCCCAACAACCGTAACAGGCGGCAGCGTCCAGCCCGCCGTCAACGGCTCGCGCAGCACCCGCACATCCTCATCCATCGCCTGCGTCACCATCACCGAGGTCATATACTTGGACTCATCAACAAAGTCATTGACCACATGATCGACACCAGCGAACCCCGTCTCTTTCAGGAGAGCATCCCACTGACTGACCGGAATCGTCGGCCCATACGGCCGCCCATCCTCGCCGCCCAACCACCACCCCGGCAAACCCGCCATCATCAACTTCACGCGCACAATCTCACTCGTGACCTCCAACAACAACAAAAAGCCCCCCGGCCTCAACAACCGCCTGACATTCTCCATCGTCGCGCGCAGCGACTTTGTAGCGTGCAGCACATTCGACGCCACAATAACATCAAACGCCCCCTCCTCAAACCCCTGCGCGCCAAGCTCCCTCTCCACATCCAACGCCTTAAACTGCATCTTCCCCATCCCCACCCACCGCTCAAACTGCGTCGCAGCGGCCTCAAAGAACCCCGTCGAGATATCTGTAAAGGTGTACGACTCAAACCTGCTTTCAAGCCCCTCCAGAATCCCCTTCGTGGCGCCGCCCGTCCCCGCCCCGATCTCCAGGATCCGGGCCCGCGGGTACCGGTGCGCGATCTGCGCCGCCGCCCGCGCCATGGACCCGTTCGCCCGCGCGAACCCCAGCCCGCTCTTGTAGAACCGGTCCAGCGTGTCGTTCGCAACCATGTGCTCCAGCATCCAGGCCTCCCCGCGCACGACGGCGGGGAGGTGCTCGCCGACGGCGCGGATGAGTTGAAGGTCCACTGAGTCGGGGTATGCCGATGCCAGACTGAGGAGGTGGGGTTTTGTGTCGTTGGACCATTCGGGGCGGATGGTCGGGTGCTTGCCGGCGGCGATGATGGGGAAGAGGTGGTCGATCCAGGCGAAGATGCGCTGGAAATTCCATTCCATTTTTGGGACTTCGCTGCGCGGGGTCACCGTTTTCAGGTGCCGGAGGTAGTAGTATGCGAGACGTTCACACAGGTCGACGAGTTCCAGGTCGGTCGGGGAGTCGGAGTCGGAGTCCGAGCTTGCTGGGCTGGCGTTGCTGGTGGTGGTGGTGGTGGTAGTGTTGAGGGGCGCGAGTCCGCTGGATAGGTCGACTTCCCACGCGGTCTGCGAGTAGAGTTCTTTGTAGTCCCGTGGGCCGGGTGGTGTCAGGCTGGAGCACCGGAGGCCTTGCAGCTGGATCAATCCCGCGTGGGTGGGGCTGTACAGGTCCAAGTCGGCGACGATCGTCGTGCCGGAGGAGTGGGTGATGCAGGCGTCCACGGTGAGCTGGGCACTCTCCTGCACGATGTCGCGGTTGACTATGCGCAGACTCGTTAGTCCCGTCGGCACGAACGGCGCGCGCAGGCTCCCGTCCTCGGGCCAGCAGTAGGCCGCGAAGAGCGTCTGGAAGGCCGCATCCAAGACGGCCGGGTGGATGGGCACGCCCAGCTTCGCGGTGGGGATCTGCGCCGCCGTGGCCGTGGCCGTCCCGGACCGCCGCTGCACGCCGTCCAGCCCCCGGAACGGACCCGTGTAGTGCAGCCCGATGGCCGTGAGGGCCTCGTAGAACCGCTCCGTCTTCACCGCGTGGAACAACCCGCTCGACGGGCTGCGCGGCGGGAGGATGTCCGTGTCCCCGTCCGTGTCCGCGTCCGCGTCCGCGTCCGCGTCAGCTGCAGAACGCAGAATAACCTGCACGGTGCCGCGCGCGTTACTCCGCCACGCTGCCTTGCCATTCCCCGCGGTGCGGGCGTAGCACGCCCACTGCGCGGTCCTGGTTGCGGATTTGGAGTTGGTCGGGGACGGGGTCAGCGTGAACTGCACCTCCACCCCCTTCCCGTCCTCGGGCAGCGGGATGGCGTTCGCGATCTCTACGTCGCCCAGCTCCAGCAGCTGCACCGTCTGGCCCGCGCCCACGAGCTGGTGGGCCGCCTCCATCGCCATGACCAGATACGCGGCCGCGGGGAAGATGACCTGCCCCTCGACCTTGTGTCCCTCCAGCCAGGGCAGCTCCCGCGTGCGCAGGGTGATCGCCCAGCGCATCTCCTGGTCGAGGTCCTCATTCGACCGCACCCCCAGCAACGGGTGCCGCGGGGCCCGCGACCGGAAGTTGGCAGATCTCGTGGACTCACGCCAGAAGGACTGGCGGTGGTCCCAACTGTACCGCGGCAAGTCGGGCACCCACTGCGGCAGTCTGTCGGAGAACGCCGAGCTGTACGCCGGGAAGTCGACCGCCTTGGACCCCAGGTGCGTCCACAGGAACCCGAGCGTCTCGCTGATGGCCACAATGTCGTGCTGTCCACGACTCAGCGTCCCGGTGTAGGGCAGCGGCGCAGCCCCACCGCTGGGTGCCACCTGCTTGGCGGTCTGCGTGAAGGGCCCCTTGAGGGCGGGATGCGCGCCAATCTCGATGGCCACGTCGCACGCCTCTTCCTCGCTGAGCGCCATCTCCACGGCGGTGGCGAACATCACCGGACTGACCATATTATCGTTCCAGTACTCCCCAGCCAGGCTGTCCACACGATATCCCTCCATGCGCGCGCCGTGCACACTGCTGACCCAGACACAGCCCTCCCTCGCCTCGCGCGGAGCGATCTCACATCCTGCCAGGGAGTCGAGGTACGGCTCCGAGCAAGGAATCATATGGGCGGAGTGGTACGCGGTATCCACCCGGAGGGTTCGCGCAAACACGCCGCGCTCATCGAGGATCGCCTTCGCCTGGGCGATTGCATCCTCATCCCCAGATAACGTCACGCTACTCGGCGCATTACTAGCCGCGACCTCCACCCGCTCCGCGAACCGCTCCTCGCAGAATTCCACCGCCTCGTCGTACGCCATCCCCACCGCCATCATCCCGCCGCGCTGCCCGTTCTGCCCCCGCGCCAGCCCCGCGTGCACGCCGCGGTAGTACGCGATGCGGATCGCGTCCGTCGCGGAGATCATACCCGCGGCGTACGCGGCGGCGATCTCGCCGCTCGAGTGGCCGACGACCACGTTAGGGGTGATCCCGGCGAGACGGAGGAGGTCGACGAGCAGGATCTGCACGGCCGTGCAGAGCGGCTGCGCGACGCTGGCGGAGCTGAGACGCGAGGTGTCTTTGTCCGCGAGGAGTTCGGTGGCCAGGGACCAGTTCGGCGCGTCGGGGAGGGTGTCTAGCGCGGATTGTAGGGTTGATAGGGTTTGCTGGGCCGCTGGCGAGGCGTGCAGGATCTCCCGCCCCATGGTCGGCCATTGCGCGCCTTGCCCTGTGAATACGGCGAGGATGCGCGGTGTCGCCGCTTTCTTGTCGATGCGGGTGCCGAGGGTCGATTCGCTGGCGATCGCTTGGGAGAGCGCGGTGCACAGGGTGGCGCGGTCGGCGGCGGAGAAGCTCACGCGGACGGGGTGTTGCGAGCGGCGCGTCTGCAGGGTGTGGAGGATGTCTGGGACGGGGGTGTCGGTGCTGGAGAGGTATGTGTGCAGGGCCTCAACTTGGCCGCGCAGCGAGGTCTCGGAGTTGGCGGAGAGGACGAGGGGTGTGTAGAGGGAGGCAGCAGCCGACGAGGGGCGGCGATGAGGGTTGTCGTACGACTCGACGATAGCGTGGGCGTTGGTTCCGCCGAATCCTGGCGGCGTTAGCAAGCTTCATTTCCAACCCTAACACCAACTCACCGAAAGAATTCACACTGGCCCGCCGCGGCTCTCCCCCCCGCACCGCCGGCCATGGAATCATCTCCGTCGGCACCGCGAGACGGCGGTAGAACGGCTCGATCTCCGGGTTCAGCGACTCGAACAGCATGTTCGGGGGAATCTCCCCGCGCCGCACGGCTTCGACCGCCTTGACCAGCCCCGCCAGCCCCGCCGTGCCCTCCAGATGGCCCACGGCCGTCTTCACCGACCCGACGTACAGCGGCGGCTCTGCCTGCTCCGTCGACGAGCCGAAGAAGGCGTTGTGGATCGCGCGCGCCTCGATCGGGTCGCCAGCCGGGGTGCCCGTCCCGTGCGCCTCGAAGTACTGGCACCGCTGCGACTCGATGTCCAGCCCGGCGCGTGCGTACGTCTGTCGGATCAATGCCGTCTGCGAGTCGGCGCCGGGGAGCGTGATCCCGTTCGTTCCTGTGCCCCCATTAGCCGTCTGCACTCATCCTCGGCCCTGGAAGAACACGTCCCGGGGGAGAACCCCCGGACCCCCCTTTCTTTCAACTTCCTGGCAACACTCATCCCGAGTCTTAGGATAACACGTTCCGGGGGAGAACCCCCGGGCCCCCCTTTCTTTCACCTTCCCGGGAACCCGCATTGGACCCGCCCGCATTGGACTTAGGCCGAGTGCTACCAGGAAGCTGAAAAGAAGGGGGGTCCGGGGGTTCTCCCCCGGGAAGTCTCACGCTCGGTATACATTAGGGTTGAGTGTGCCGGGAAGCTGAAAGAAAGGGGGGTCCGGGGGTTCTCCCCCGGGACGTGTTATTGGGCAGCCCTCCAGAAAGAAAGGTTAAACAAGGGAGGCAGGGCAACTCACGTCCATCGGAATTGACGCCGGTCTCGCGGATGACGCCGTGCACATAATCGCCGTCGGCGACGGCCTGGCTGAGCGTCTTGAGCATGACGGCCGCAAAGCCCTCGCCGCGGGCGTAGCCATCAGCAGCCGCGTCCCACATGCGGCTGCGGCCGGTGGGCGAGAGCATGTGCAGCTTGGACTCGGAGATCATCATCTCGGGGCCGAGGATGAGGTTCGCGCCGGCGGCGCAGGCGAGGGTGGAGCGGCCCTGGCGCAGGGCCTGGACGGCCTCGTGCACGGCGACCAGACTGGACGAGCAGGCGGTGTCGATGGTCATGGAGGGCCCCGTCCAGTCGAAGAAGTACGAGATGCGGTTCGCCAGGATGCTGCGCGCCGTGCCCGTGGCCATGTACTTGGGCATGTCCTCCGGGTCGCGCAGCAGCAGCTCGTGGTAGTCGCCCGTCATGACCCCGACGTACACGGCCGTGTCGGAGCCATGCAGGTCCTCCAGCACCCCGCCCGCCGACTCCAGTGCTTCGTACACCGTCTCCAGCAGCAGCCGCTGCTGCGGGTCCATGGCCTCCGCCTCCAGGGCGTTCGTCTTGAAGAACGCCGCGTCGAACTGCGCGATGTCCTCGTCCAGCGTGTAGGCCTCCTTCACGTTGAGGCAGCCGGCCCGCTCGCCGTCCGCGTCGTAGAAGGCGTCGACGTCGAACCGGTCGCTTGGGATGCGCCGCTGCACGTCGCGCTTGGCGCACAGCAGCTCCCACAGCTTGGACGGGGTGTTGGCCCCGCCTGGGAAGCGGCAGCCCATGCCCACGATGGCGATGGGCTCGGGGGTGGGCGTGGTGGGCGTGGTGGTGGTGGTGGGTGGTGGGGGTGACATGGTGTGTGGTGGTGGTGTCTATTAATGAAATGCAAGACGAAAGATAAACAAGGGTATCGCGTCTAGGGTATTAATATAGATGTATCACAATAAGTGTGTTTCTATTGTCCCGACAGAGAGACATATACCCTCTGCACTAAAAGTATACAACAACCGCCCTCCGGTCGGCGACTTTGTTGGGCGCCGACAGCCGAACCCCGGCCACGGCCAGCCAGCCTTGCTACCTCATAACCCCCCATTTCAACTCCATCTCCCACACCCCCATGGCAGCATCATTCTTCCCACACAGCCAGCGACCGCAATGTTCAAATTTTACCCATCCGACTTCTTCCACTTCGAGTTCCTGCGCGTGCTGGCCAGCGCGCCCGCCGGCGGGGCCGAGACGGGCGAGTGCCTGGCGGTGCTGCCGCAAGTACCGGACGGGGACGCCGAGGCGTGGTACCGGGCGTGGACGGCGCAGGCGCAGCAGGCGCGGGGACGGGGCGACGACGCCCTCGTCTCCGGGGACCCGGTCGCCGCGTCGGGGGCGTACCTGCGCGCCAGCAACTACTTCCGCGCCAGCGAGTTCTTCCTGCACGCCCGCCCGGACGACCCACGGCTGCTGGCGGCGATCGAGAATAGCGTCGCCGTGTTCGATCAGGGGGTGGATCTGCTGGATAGCTGCACCGTGGTGCGGGTGGAGATTCCGTATGAGGAGGAGAAGGGGGTTGCGAGGCTGCCGGGCAGATTGTATCTCCCCCGGGCGGCGGGCGTCGCAGACCAACTGGACAGCAAGAAGAAGCGCCCGCTCCTCGTTATGACGGGCGGGTTCGACTCCACGCAGGAGGAGCTGTACTTCTTCGGGCCTGCGGCTGCCCTTCCGCGCGGGTATGCGGTGCTCACCTTCGAGGGACCGGGCCAGGGGATCTGTCTCCGTCGCGACGGGCTGCGGCTGCGCCCGGACTGGGAGCAGGTCACGACTCAAGTGCTCGATGTGGTGGAGGAGCTGGCGAAGGATCATCCGATTGACTTGGCCCGGGTTGCAGTGGTCGGCGCCTCGCTGGGCGGGTACTTCGCTCTGCGGGCGGCGGCGGACCCGCGCGTGCGGGCGTGCGTCTCGTGCGACGCGTGCTACGATCTGTTCGACGTGACGCGCAGCCGCATGCCCGGCTGGTTCATCAACGGGTGGTTGAGCGGGCGGCTCAGCGACGGGTTCTTCAACTGGGTGGTCGACAAACTGGCGGGGTGGAGTTTCCAGCTGCGCTGGGAGTTCGGCCACAGCATGTGGGTGTATGGAGTCAAGACGCCGGCGCATGTGATGCGCTGCATGCAGCAGTACCACGCCCGCGGGTATTTGCAAGACATCAAGTGCAGTACGTTTGTGACGGGCGCGGCGGAGACGTTCTATTTTACGCCGGAGCAGAATACGCAGCCGATCTTTGAAGCGTTAGGGCATCTCCCGCCGCAGAAGAAGCGGTTGTGGATCGGGAAGGGGGTGGACGGCGGTGGGCTGCAGGCCAAGATCGGGGCGTGGGCGGTGTTTCACCAGAAGATGTTTGCATGGTTGGATGAGCAGTTTGGGATCAGGCGGGGGAGAGCTGTGTAGGGGAGTGGTGGTGGTGATTCGGTGCGTTTGTGAATGTGTGGTGGAAAGTAGCCGATTGACCCTCGGAGCTTTGAATTATTATATCCTGGATTACATAGTCTTCACTGTTTAGCCTTTTCTCGGATAACATAGTCCCGTTTATCCCTAATTACGACAGTCATTCTTATACGTACCGCTGAGTCTTTCAGCCTCTAACTAATATCGTATCCTTATCCTTCGGAGGTACCAAGTCAGCAAGGAAGGTGTATAATCCCCTCACGCCTCCACCCAATCCAACCCCTCCACCACCAACCAACCACTCAACACCACAATGGCACCCATCGGCCGTCTCTACACATACGTACCCAACGCGCGGATCTTGAAGGTGACCCCAAAGCCACCCCACCCTCCTCCTTCCCACCTAACAAACTGCAGATCCAAGCCGCGGCCGCACTCAACAACCTGACTCTCGACATCCCGCAACCCTTCGCCTTCGGCACGGCCAACAAGACCCCGGAGTTCATCCGCAAATTCCCCACTGGCAAGGTGCCCGCCTTCGAGTCTGCCGACGGCCAGATCACGCTGGTGGAATCCGACGCGATCGCGCAGTACGTGGCCGCCTCCGGGCCGGCGGCGCCGGCGCTGCTGGGCCGAAATGTCGCCGAGCAGGCGGCGGTGCGCCAGTGGGTCTGCTTCGCGGAGAACGAGGTGTTCCGGAACATGATGGCGGTGGTACTGTGGCGCGTGGGGATGCGGGAGTACGCTGCCGGGGTCGAGGGGGAGGGGGCGAAGGGGTTGGAGGAGGCGTTGGCTGTGTTGGAGCGGCATCTTGCAGCGGGGGAGAAAGAGTATCTTGCGACGGAGGGGGAGTTGTCCCTGGCGGATTTGAGTGTTGCGTCCGCACTGTTTTGGGCATTCATGCATTATATTGATGCAGAGATGAGGGGGCGGTTTCCTCGGGTTGTGCGGTGGTATCTGGGGGTGGTTGCGGCGGAGAAGGTGAAGGAGGTGTTTGGGGAGCCTAACTTGGTTGCGGTGCGGAAGGCGGCGCCTGTTTAGTGGGCTGCTGGAGCTTGAGTGTTGCTGGGAAGCTGAAAAGAAGGGGGGTCCGGGGGTTCTCCCCCGCAACGTGTTTATTTTAGGACTTAGAACTGCAGTTACCAGGAAGCTGAAAGAAAAGGGGGGTCCGGGGGTTCTCCCCCGGAACGTGTTTCTTCCAGGTATACATTAGGGCTGAGCACAGTGGAGCTTATATGATCTGCAGTGTAAGAGCAGGGAATAAATCCTTTCGGCGAGATTCAGCCCGTCAGCCAACCTATATAGACCTAATCTAGCAGACTGGCCCCCTCTCCCTGCTCCCAAACGCAACATGTCTGAACCCAATGTACACGATGTTCCAGCACCGCAGAATGCGCCGCCCACGAAGGGCCTGCGCTTCTGGCTGATCTTCCTGGCGATCGGGATCGCGACCTTCGTGGCCGCCCTGGACACGTCAATCATCTCGACCGCCCTGCCCACCATCACCGCCGACTTGGGCTCGGAGGAGCTCTACATCTGGATCATCAACACCTACCTGCTGTCCTCGACCGTCTCGTCGGCGATTGTGGGCCAGCTGTCCAACATCTTCGGGCGCCGCAGCATGACCACCCTCGCGCTGCTCGTCTTCGCCGTGGGCAGCGCCATCTCCGGGGCCGCCCGCGACACGGGGATGCTGCTTGCGGGCCGGACGATCCAGGGCCTCGGCGGCGGCAGCATCACCACGCTGTCCGAGGTGCTCGTGTGCGACATGGTCTCGCTGCGCGAACGGGGCGTCTACGCGGGGATCCTGGGCGCCGCGTGGACGCTCGCCGCCGTGGTCGGCCCCATCATGGGCGGGGGGTTCACGCAGAACGTGTCGTGGCGGTGGATCTTCTACATCAACCTCCCGATCGCGGGCAGCTCGCTCTTCCTAATCGTCACTCTCCTCCGAGTCCGCAATCCCCGCTCCGCCACGAGCATCCTGCGCCGTCTGCGCACCATCGACTGGGGAGGCATCACTCTACTCTCCCTGGGCGTCACCGCGATGCTCCTCTCGCTCACCTGGGCGGGCACCACGCACCCGTGGTCCTCGTGGCGGACGATCGTGCCCCTCGTGCTCGGGTTTCTGGGACTGCTCGGGTTCATCGGCTACGAGGCCCTGCCGCCCGAACCGACGATGCCCCTGCGGCTCTTCCGCAACCGCACGGCCGCCACGCTGTTCGGGATGGCCTTCGTCTACAGCCTGCTGCTGTTCTGGGTGTGCTACTTCCTGCCCATCTACTTCCAGGCGGTGCTCGACGCCACCCCGACCCGCTCCGCCGTCATGCTCTTCCCGGTCGCCACCACGACCGCCCCCGCCGGCATCGTCGCCGGCATCCTGATGACCAAGACCGGCCGCTACCGCAGCTTCCAGTACATCGGCTTCGCCCTGATGACCATCGCCTGCGGCCTGTTCACCCTGCTGGACCAGTCCACCACCACCGGCGAATGGACCGGCTACCAGATCCTGTTCGGCGTCGGCACCGGCATCGTCTTCACGACCGGCCTGCCCCCGATCCTCGCCAGTCTCCCGGAGAGCGACGTCGCCACCGGCACCGCGACCTGGATCTTCATGCGCAACTTCGGCGCTATCTGGGGCACCGCCATCCCCGCGGCCGTGTTCAATACGAAAGCGAATGCTCTGGCGTCGCAGACGATCGATGATCCGACGGTGAGGGCGCTGCTGGTGGATGGAGGGGCGTACCAGCGGGCGACAAAGGCGTTCGTGAGTTCGTTCAAGGATCGTCCCGCGGTGATGCGGGCGATTCGCCGGCTGTACGTCCTGAGTCTGCGGGAGGTGTGGCAGGTGAGTATCGCGTTCTGTGGGGTGGGTTTTCTACTGTGCTTTCTGGTCAAGGCGTATCGATTGCGGGACGAGTTGAATACCGAGTATGGCATGCAGGTCGAGGGGGAGTCCAAGACGCGGATCGTGGGGGAGGGGGTCGAGATGGGGAAGGGCGGGAGGGTGCAGGAGGCGAGGTAGACTGTCTCTCTTACAAGAGTTGATTTCCTCAATTGATGGTCAGTCTAAATAGTTGTAGTCACAATTATGCAGCTACTACATGGACTCCAGAAGCTCTGGCTACGTTTTGCACCAGTTTCTATTCAGTGATATAAATCCTAATGATACACAGTAAGACGTCCCGGGGGAGAACCCCCGGACCCCCCTTTCTTTCACCTTCCCAGTAAGACTCAATGCTGATAGATACATGGAGTAAGACGTCCCGGGGGAGAACCCCCGGACCCCCCTTCCTTTCAGCTTCCCAGCAACACACAACCCTAAGTCACGGGCCGCCAAACTCACCGAAACTCGCCGATACCCAAGTGTCTAGCCATCACTTGCACACATATTGAAAGACGAGCTAGAACAACAAACTCAGACAACACACAACTTGACTGTATACACCCAAACACCATGTCACTCGACTTCACCACCTTCCACAACATCATCGCCGGCCAGCCGCGCTCCTCCGCCACCGTCCACGCGGGCGTCTCGCCACTCACCCACGCCCGACTCTGGGACGTCCCGGTCGCGACCGCGCAGGACGTCGACGACGCGGTCGCCGCCGCGACATCCGCCTTCCCCAGCTGGGCGGCGGAGCCCTACACCGAGCGCACGCGGCTGCTGGGCGAGTTCGCGGATCTCTACCTGCAGCATGCCGAGGAGTTCGTAGAGCTGTTGATGGCCGAGACGGGGCGGAGTGTATCCCTTCCCTCCCTTTCCTTTCCCGCGATACCTTTTCCCACTGCAGTGTGCAGCCCTGACGAAGACAGAAACAAGCGGCCGCGATCGAGGTATACTGGGCGGCGGAGTGGCTGCGCTATCCCGGTACGATCCATCGCCTCACAAGCGACCAAAGCTAACCAGTCCAGCGAAATACACCCTCCCCGAAACCAAGCACGAAGACGACGAGCTCGTCGCCATCACGACGTACGAGCCCCTCGGTGTGGTCGCCGCCATCTGTCCGTGGAACTGTACGTGACACTTCCCCCCCCCATCTCCCAATCTACCCGCATGCTAACAAGCACCAGTCCCCATCAGCCTAGGTACAGCACTTACCTGCACCCCGACCACTCACCTCCACCAAATACTCACCCAGCGCAGCAATAGGCAAAATCGCCCCGGCACTAGCAACCGGCAACGCCATCATCGTCAAGCCCTCGTGCGCCCCCCCCCCCCCCCCCCCCCCCCCCCCCCCCCCCCCCCCCCCCCCCCCCCTTCCACCTCAAAAACCAACTAACCAGAAAGACCATTCACGCCCTACACAACCCTCAAACTCACCCACCTGGCCCAACGCATCTTCCCAGCAGGGATCCTCCAAGCCCTCAGCGGCGACGCCACCCTCGGCCCCGCCCTCGTGCACCACCCGCGCATCCACAAGATCTCCTTCACGGGGTCCACGGCCACCGGCCAGGAGATCATGCGCGGCTGCGCCGACACCATGAAGCGGTTCACCCTCGAGACGTATGCCCCCCCCCCCCCCCCTCTCTCTCTCTTCCATACTTACGAGAAACTGAAGACGATGGCTGACGCACGCAGCGGCGGGAATAACGTGGGGATTGTGTTTGGGGATGTCGATGTCGCAGCGACGGCGGCGAAGATCGCGGGGGGATTGTGGTTTAATGCGGGGCAGGTGTGTATCAATGCACGGCGGCTGTATGTGCATTCCTCGGTGTACGGGGCGTTTGTGCGGGAGTTGGGGCGGGTGACCGGGGTGATGGCGCGGGATATGGATGTTGTGGGGCCGGTGCAGAATGTGATGCAGTATCGGAGGATTCAGGCTGTGCTTAGGGAGTGTCAGGAGTTGGGGTTGAGGTTTGTTGTCGGGGGAGAGGGGGGGGAAGGCGAGGGGCTGTTCGTTCGGCCTGTTGTGTTGGATAATCCCCCGGATGAGGTTGGGGTTCTGAGGGAGGAGATCTTTGGTGGGTTCCCTGCGTCTACCTGGTGGTGTGGGCTAATGGGAGTGGGATAGGGCCGGTTATCTCGTGCAAGCCGTTTGATGCAGTGGAGGAGGTGGTGCGCGTCGCGAACGAGAGCTCGACCGGCTTGAGTGCGATTGTCTGGACGGCGGACGCGGAGCTGGCAAAGAGGGTTTCGGCACAGCTGGATGTCGGGAATGTGTTTGTCAACGGACCGCCCAAGCCGAATGCGTACGTGCCCTTTGGCGGGCATAAGCTGAGCGGGGTGGGGGTCGAGTACGGGCTGGAGGGGCTGTTGGGGTTCTGTCAGGTCAAATCGGTGCATGTGTACAAATAGTGATATTAGATGAAATAGGGGTGAATTATATAGTCAAGGAGTATATTGGGCCTGAGTGCTACTGGGAAGCTGAAAGAAAGGGGGGTCTGGGGGTTCTCCCCCAGAACGTGTTTATTCTGGGACTTAGGGTTGAGTGTTACTGGAAGAAAAGTCTTATTCCAGGATGTAAGGTTGAGTTTTACTGGGAAGTTGAAAAGAAGGGGGGTCCGGGGGTTCTCCCCCGGGAAGCCTTTTCTAGGACGTCACTGGCAATGCGTATTAGTCTGACTGGGCATTCGAACCAGTCATGCCACTGGCATTAGCATTGGCATGGACCCAGCTGGCGGATCGGCGACTTTCAGCCATCGCCGGTAGTTGGAACTACTAGGTATACATAGTCAACCTATTCCACTGAATAAATGCCCAGCGTCCCCCAGAACCACCACCCACTCCAAGTCAGACAGCCACCATGGCGGAAATCCTCGACATCACCGGGCTCCTCAAGCCCTACCTCTCCGGCACGAATCTGCTCTGGACGCTCCTCCTTGGCGGCTACATCATCCCCAAGCTATTCCAGTATCTCCAACGGCTCTTCTCCCCCGTCTCGCGCATCCCTGGCTCATGGCTGCACAAACTCACTTCTTTACCACTAAAAGTCGCAATCGCCAAGGGTAAAAGGTAATCTCCCTTGCCTTCAGATCTTTCTCCAGTATACTAACAAACCAGCCACCTCTTCACCGTCGACCTGCACAAGAAGTACGGCCCCATCGTCGCCCTCTCGCCGACCATGATCTCCATCTCCGACGCCCGCGAGATCAAACGCATCGTCCACACGGAGGACTGGGCCAAATCGGAGGCCGTGTACGGCAACTTCCGACAGGACCCGCAGCGGCCGACCCTGCTGGCCTTCACGGACAAGAAGGCGTACAGCCAGCGCAAACGGCTCGTGTCGAGCATGTTCGGCCTGCGGTACATCCGCAGCATGCAGCCACTGATGCGCGACTGCATCTCGGTCCTGTTGGACGAACTCGACAAACAGTGTGAACACGGAACCACCACCGTCGACATGCAGCACATGATCCAGTCCCTGGCGGCGGACATCATCGGCGTGACGACGTTCGGGCAGACATTCGACCTGGTCAAGAACGGGTCGCATCCGCTGCCGGACCGGCTGAAGCAGGCGCTCAAACTCTCGGGCATCCTGCAGTTCATGCCGTGGCTCACCAAAATCCCGTTCATCCCCAACCGCGACCCCTACGTCAGCTGGTTCACCAACGAGATCGTCGCGAAGCGCCGCGCGCAGATCGCCAGCCGCCAGGGCCCGCCCCGCGAGGACCTGCTACAGAAAATGATTGAAGCCGCCGACGAGAGCCCGACCTCGTCGTTCCGGGTCTCCGACATCCAGGACGAGAGCGTCGTGCTGCTCATCGCCGGCAGCGAGACCACCGCCAACGCCGAGCTGTTCACCCTCATCCACCTCCTACGCCACCCGAGCAAGCTCGCCGCCCTCTACGAGGAGATCGACCGCTGGTACCCGCGCAACGACCCCCGACCGACCGACTGCGACTACAGCATGTCCGGCATGGTCTACCTGCAGGCCTGCATCGACGAGACCATGCGCCTGGTCCCCGGCCAGGCCACGGGCAGCCCACGCGAGTCGCGCAAGGACGAGACACTGCTGGGCTACAACATCCCCAAAGGCACGACCGTCTTCCCCACGACGCAGGAGGTGCATCTGGACGAGGCTCTGTGGCCGAACGCGACCGCCTTCCTCCCCGAGCGCTGGCTGGACGTCTACGCCAAGGGCGAGGCCAACAGCCTGCCGTACTACCCCTTCTCGGCGGGCAGTCGCGTCTGCATCGGCAAGCACTTCGCCGCCCAGGAGATGCATCTCTCGCTGGTGTCGCTGCTCCGTCGCTTTCGCTTCGAGTATGTCCCGGGCCAGGACGAGTCGACCGTGTTCCGCATTGCGCAGCAGATGCGCGGGCAGCGGTATCTGATGACGGTGGGAAGGAGGTAACAGATGCTGTACATAGTTTATGTTGTGACGTTATTCAGCTTCCTGGTGACAACACTCCTGAGTACTGGAGTATACCGTCCCGGGGGAGAACCCCCGGACCCCCCTTTTTTTCAGCTTCCTGGTAACCTCAACCTTAAGTCCTAGGATTTACCGTCCCGGGGGAGAACCCCCGGACCCCCCTTTCTTTCAACTTCCCAGCTTAAATCAACCCTTATCCAGAAAATGTAAATATACTTGTTAAATACTAGCAAACCACCGAATCTCGCCGGCCGTAACTCGCCGACACTGTGTACGGTTGTATATATACCACCATCACCCTCAGCATTGCCCAGCAAACTCACACCACCCCCACAAGATCCAAGAAGCAAATCCAGCAATCAGAATGTCCCCCGCCAAAGTCAGCGCCAACGACGTGCCCATGCACGGCAACGGGTTCTACAGCTCCAACTCGGCCCTGCAGCACTCCGCCATGCTCAACGCCCTGCCCCTACTCTCCGCAGCAGCCTCCAAGGCGCAGCAGCAAGAGCAAGAGGCCAACTCGCGCCCCTTCACAATCCTCGAATTCGGCTCCGCCCACGGCAACAACTCGTACGCCCTCCCCACCCCACCCCATCCCATCCCATCCCATTCCCATCCACAACAAACCTAACACTACAGCAAAGCCACACCCCCATAACCACGATCCTCAAATCCCGCACCCCAGCTCCCACCCGCGAAATCCACCTGCAATTCAACGACCGCCCGACCAACGACTTCACCACCCTCTCCACCAACCTGGCAACCATGACCTGGCCCGTCCCCAACCAAACCTTCACCTCCCTCGTCCCGTCCTCCTTCTACTCCCGCGTTGCGCCGCAAGGGAGCGTGGACGTGGCCTTCTCCCTGGCGGCCCTGCACCACCTCGACCGCGTCACCCCGGTGCCCGCCTCCGGCCCCGTCCCGACGCACGAGGCCCGGCAGGCCGAGTTCCGCGCGCAGGCGCACGCAGACCTCCTCGCGTTCCTGGCCCACCGCGCCGCGGAGATCGTCCCGGGCGGCGGGCTGGTGCTGAGCTTCGTGGGGCAGGAGCTCGGCCCGCGCGGCGAGGAGATCACCAACTACGCGGGCCCGGTGGACGCGTGCCGCGCCGCGATGGTCGAGATGCTGCAGGCCGGGGTGCTCAGTCCGGCGGTGGCGAATGTGTTCGAGGTGCCGGCTTATAACCGGACACTGGCGGATGTGCGGCGCACGCTGGGCGAGACTGCGGTGCGCGCGGAGTGGGATGTTGAGGAGGTGTTTGAGCGGAAGGTTGTGCATCCTGCGATTGGGGAATTGGAGGGCAGGATGAAGGCTGCGCCTGGGAAGGAGGCGGAGCACGCGGAGTGGTATGCGAGGACGGTGGTGGATTGGCTGATGGCGGTTGTGGCGGGGTATTTTGTTAAGGCGGTGCGCGAGGGGATGGGCGTTACTGATGCGGAGACGGTGGAGGGGTTGTTGGCGCAGTGGGTGGAGCGCACGAGGGTGCGGTTCTTGGAGGGCCATCGCAATGAGGCGGTTGAGTGCTGGTTTGTTTATGCGCGATTGAGTCGGAAGTAGATGCTTATCTTGTTCTTGGTCTTGCGCTTGGCCTTGTGGTTAGGGTTGTCTTGATCTGAGTTGATATGGATATGTTTAAGTTAAGTGTTACTGGGAAGCTGAAAGAAAGGGGGGTCCGGGGGTTCCCCCCCGGAACGTGTTTAAACTACAAGAGTGTTACCAGGAATCTGAGAAGAAGGGGGGTCCGGGGGTTCTTCCCCGGAATGTGTTAATTCTATAACTTTTTAGAATTGAGTGTTACCAGGAAGCTGAAAAGAAGGGGGGTCCGGGGGTTCTCCCCCGGAAAGCCTTACTCTGTGTCTCAATTAGGGTTGAGTTCTACTAGGGAGGTGCAAATAAGGTAAAACATGCACAAGTCAATTGATGACCTAATCAATAGCCATATTGCACAACTGCGTAGAGCTAGTGGCCTGGGTAGCCTCACAGCCTGCGACAGCACGATCAGAGTGGATACACACAACTTCATCCAGCAGGCACACATTAGCTGCAGTCAACCGTCCAGTCTTACACCCTCCTCTTGTGGGTGTGTTTGCGGGTCCCACCGAGCGCGATCAGCGTCGGCGCAGTCGGCGATATTCCCCCGGGACTCGGAGACATAGTATACTCGCCGGTTAACCACCAACACACACCAACACACCAACGACTCGAAACACCGTCCATCGTGGAGGCAAACATGCCACAACAGACCGACTCGCCGAAGTGGCCCTCACCACTCAATCAAGATCCCATCAACTATATTACCTCACATCGCCATGACACCAAATCTCGCCCAACACACATCCCTTCTACAATCCCAAGCATCATGCACCGCGAGCTCAAAGAATTCTCCCACCCCCACGGCTCCACGGGCATCTACCAGGACAATCTCCAGGTAGATGTCCTGATCGTGGGCGCCGGGTTCAGCGGCATCTACATGCTGCACGAGCTGCGCAAGCAGGGCCTCAAGACCGTCGTCTACGAGGCGGGCTCCGACCTGGGCGGCACGTGGCGGTTCAACTGCTACCCCGGCGCACGGGTCGACTCGCAGGTGCCACTATACCAGTTCTCCATCCCCGAGACCTACAAGGACTGGACCTGGTCGACCAACTACCCCGACTACAAAGAGCTGCGGGCCTACTTCGACCACGTCGACAAGGTCCTCGACATCAAGAAGGACGTCGCCTTCGGCAGCGTCGTCGTCGACGCCCAGTTCGACACCACCCAGAGCCGCTGGGTCGTCAAGACCCAGGACGGCCGCACCGCGTACGCCAAGTACTTCATCGCGGCGGCGGGCGTCTCGTCCAAGCGCTACATCCCCGCGTGGGAGGGGATCGAGACCTTCAAGGGCCCCATCCACCACACCTCCTTCTGGCCGGAGCACGAGGTCGACGTGCGCGGCAAGCGCGCCGCCATCATCGGCACCGGCGCCTCGGGCGTGCAGGTCACGCAGGCCTGGGGCCCCCAGGCCGGCCATCTGAAGGTCTTCCTGCGCTCGCCCAACTACTCCATCCCCATGCGCCGCAGGGAGCTCACCGCCGACGAGCAGAACCGGCTCAAGCCCATCTACCCGCAGCTGTTCGACCTGCGCGAGAAGACCTTCACCGGCGCGCTGGTGGACTTCAGCGAGCGCAGCGCCCTCGAGGACTCGGCGGCCGAGCGCGAGGCCTTCTACGAGCAGCGCTACCAGACCGGCGGCTTCGACTTCTCCACCGCCAACTACAAGGACACGATGCTCAACCCGGTCGCCAACCGGTACCTGTACGACTTCTGGGCCAAGAAGACGCGGGCCCGCCTCCACGACGAGCGCGTCAAGAACCTGCTGGCGCCCGTCGAGCCGCCGTACTTCTTCGGCGGCAAGCGCTCCTCGCTGGAGACCGACTTCTACGAGCAGTTCAACCGCGAGACGGTCGAGCTGGTCGACGCCCAGAGCAACCCGATCGTCGGGTTCACCGAGACCGGCATCAAGATGCAGGACGGCACCGTGCACGAGGTCGACGTCGTGTGTCTGGCCACCGGCTTCGACACCACCACCGGCAGCCTGATCAACCTGGGCGTGCGCAGCATCCACGGCACCACGCTGCAGGAAGACTGGTCGCAGGCCGCCGAGACCTACCTGGGGCTGACGGTGGCCGGCTACCCCAACCTGTTCCACCTGTACGGCACGCACGCGCCCACCCTGTTCAGCCAGGCCGTGACCACCATCGAGGTGCAGGGCCGCTGGATCGCCGACGCCATCAAGCAGATCGAGCGCCAGCGCCTCCGCTCCATCAACCCCTCCCGCGAGGCCGCCCACGCCTGGAAGCTGCAGATCCGCGCCTTCCAGACCGCCAGCTTCTTCCCCACCGTCCACTCCACCTACATGGGCGGCTCCATCCCCGGCAAGCCCTTCGAGCTGGTCTCCTACCCGGCCGGCATGCCCATGTACGCGCGCCAGATCCGCGACGCGCTGCCCGCCTTCCCTGGCTTCGAGGTCGTGAACGCCGACGGGGAGAAGGTCGAGAACGCGGCGCCCGGCGGGCTGGAGGCGACGACCAACTTTTTCGAACGCTTGTTTGGGATGCCGCCTTCGTCGGCCAAGGAGGATCTTGCGAAGCAGGATAAATAGCTGGTTTTGATACTGTAGTCCACTAATGATTATGTTGTTCTTCTTGTGAAACCCCGTCGGTTTATGGCACCACGTAGACTTTATATAATCTAGTTGTAGTTATACTTTTTCTTTACCTTCCAGCAATACTTAACCCTTAATCCTAAAATGGGACTTCCCGGGGGAGAACCCCCGGACCCCCCTTTCTTTCAGCTTCCTGGTTACACTCAACCTAAGCCTAGAATATCACGTCCCGGGGGAGAACCCCCGGACCCCCCTTTCTTTCAACATCCTGGTAACACATGACCCTAATAAAGACTTATTCTCCTGGAACATGAAGATAAGGTAGGTCGTCAGCAGCGCGTAAGCGTATTACCAACACGACACGACACACACCCGACAATCGCCGCCCGCCCGCCCAACCGCAGAAAACCTCCACGTGTCCTCCCGCGGAAGTCGTCCGCGACGCCCCCGAGCCCTAACTCACCGTCGAGCGTCTAGTGCTCGACTCAAAACTAACGCTCTCCAGCCTATGCCTAGGTAGGTAGGTAGGTAGGCAGCCGGGTAAGCAGGGCATCATGCAATAATCTAACCACCACTGTAAGTTGACGTAAGAACCTAATCCACGGCCTAATCTTATACCTCAGCGCTAGTAATTGCGCTGCCTACAGGAGCAAATCGTCTGGCGTGCGGGATTGGGCTGGGTGGTTTATACTCTGTCCACGGCGGTCGTGATAATTTACCTATCGAGGGGACCTGCCCCATTCAAAAATAGTACAATACAGTCCCTCCTCATGTAGATCCGACTCGCCTCGCCTCGGAGTTATCTGCCAAGCGTGGCTAGGCGTCCTGCCCATTTCCCAGTCTATTGGCTATGGATCGTATCGAGTACCGATCGCGACAGCTAGAGCGAGAGCTACTCACTACGTGAAAAGTGAAAGGACTGTGCCGACATACCCATCGCTATCGCCATCGCCATCGCCTGCTCTGGGTCTGGACTGGATCTGGGTCCTGCCCGGGCTAAACTAGGCTGATCCCGTGCCTCGAGGCGTACTGTACCCTCCCCGGGGTGGCATGATGCAGCAAAGAAGACGAGGCTGAGCGACCGTCGGGAGCGCGAAGAAAACTTAAGTACCCAGACTGTGCGAAGTGCTGATCCTTCCGATCCTGCATCCTTCATGAGGTGGTGGATCGGGGATGAGGCCATGGTTTTCTGGCGGGAGGATTGGCTTCGTCCCCGCTGGGCGATACGAGGGCCAGAACGGTAGGCTCTGGTAACGGAAAGGAAGATTATGGTGATGGTGAGGGGGAGGGGGGGGGTCATGTGATTGCTAAGCTTTTTCGGGGCTTGGTATTGTCTCCGATATCCAATTGACAACAGACTCATGCCATCTGGTGTGTTGTGCTTCGAATGACTAGGAGAAGGAGTTGGCGTGTTCCATGAAGAGAATGACCGTCGTGATCACCTCAAAGCAGTAGGAGTAAGGAGTATACTCCAACACTCCCATCTATCGGAGCGAATTCCTCCCCCGACACCCGCCGAGAGCATCGCGACCCACTGCCCCTCCGGCACGGCTGATAGGCCAAAACCCGCCGATCGGCCGGCTGGCGGGGCACTAGCGGGCGTTTCTTTTCTTAACGTGAAGAGGAGTCGAGTCGACACTGCCTTATTTTACTTGAATGTTGACACAGAGCCGGGCTAGTCGTGAATCCTGATGCGGCCAGGGCTTGATCGTCCTTGTTTCCCCAGTTGGCCAACGTGGGGGCGGAGTTCTCCTCACTTCTCCTCACTCCTCCTCCTCTTCTTCAGTGCCATGTAGACATGGAACAATGCAATAGCATCGTCGACTCGTCTAGCTAGACAATACCGAACTAGCCCTAGCCTACTTACCACTAGGTACAGTGCTCTACTCATCTAACTTAGTTCCTCATGCTGCAGAGTAGCATGCCCCTAGTATAGTCAACTCCTTGGGGCCAAAACTCATCCTTCCCTCGTTACTCCACGCCATCAGTCCCGGTTATCCGATCCCCACTGCCCCCCCCTCCAATGATCCTCATGTATCACACCCTAACAAGGGCAAGGGAATCTGAATCTGCAACCCGTACGTCACCACGGGCACATGGCTTAGTGCAGCACATGGCAACAACCCTGCAACCGGTGCTATCTCGCCAATCCTTCCACGTCAACATGCCACCTTCCCTGAAGGATTGACCTTTTCCTTGCTTTGCACCTCACTCGGCATGAGGTTAGTGCCGAATCATTCCCTGGCTGGTCAGTGTTGCGAGTCGCATGTTGCAGGTCGCACCGAGAACGACCTCTCCACCCGCCAATCTTGAGATTGACCCCCTGCCACTCCCTGACAAGGCTGTCGTTGGTTACAACCGTCCTACACTGCCCACTGCTGCTGTTTCGGATGCAGATTATGTCAGGTCGTATGTGTCAGAACCGCTGCAGCGCTGGCAGAGTGGAGCCAGGGTCAGTGTACTGCACTGCACTTGCACCGCCGACATCAGATCATGTCCACTGCAGAGCCTCCTCGCCCGCAGGTCTGCAGTCTCGGGAACACTATCTCGATCGCAAACCTCCGGCATCCAAGCGGCAGTTCATTTTGCCCAGGTTGAGCCATTTCCGGGTTCCACCAACCACCAGCGCGCATCAGGCAGACCGCAGGATTCATCGTGCGCATCCCATCTGATGGCCGGCCTGATCCATCGTCACTCTTCACTGAAACGCACCCTTCCATTCAGTTCCAGATCATGCAACCCCCCCCCGGGCAAGTCAGTGTTGCATGTGGGGACTAGACCTGCAGCAGGATCTTGATGCCTGCGCAGCCACGAGCGGTGCCAAAAGTACTCAGCAGGCGACGCGGCGGCTGCCTCGCTGCAGGGAGGTACGGTACATAGATAAAAGCACCGAATGTACCCGGGGAGGTAGGTTCGTTGCGCCGCTGCGATAGATACCTTTTCTGCACTGTCCCCGTTCATTCATACTCTTACTATCATGTCACCGACGATGAGTTTGGCGGCGTCGCAACCACAGCAGCCGCAGCCTACGCCTTCAAGTAAAGCCCCGCTCACCCGCCAGGCATGCAACCGCTGCCACGCCTCAAAGCTGAAATGTCTTCGTCCGCCCGGGGTCACCACCAGCAAAGCATGTATCCGCTGCATCAAGGCAGATGCAGAGTGTGTCTACGACCCGCCCCAGCGATTCGGTCGGCCGCGACAGAAAAGCCGACCTCAGCCCGAGTCAGGGCCCCCCCGCATTGAAGCCCGAGAGCCCGAGGTCACCGATCCTCGACGGGCTCGGCATGGATCGACGATCGGGACCCGCTGGGAGAGTAGTGTGAGAGAGAGCAGCGGTAGTCTCGCACCTTCGTCCGCTGCCGAGAGCCCCTACACAGCGGCGGGGAGCCCAGACAACCGAAGTAGCACCGCCGTCGCCGCAGCCCCGTTGGCCGGGATGGATTACGCCTCATCACACTTCCCCGAGCCGTTGGACAGCGAACGCACCAGTGAGCTCCTCGATGCGTTCCAGTCCGAGTCCATGCAGCTGGATGTTGGTGAGACCTTTTCCCTCACTCCGCATCCCCCATGCACGTAACACCAGGCTGACGGATCTCGGCATGACACAGATTCATACTGGGGCGAACCTGGTCCAGTGATGCCACCCGCCGAAACCGTCCCATATTCAGATCTTCTAACCGGTCCAATCGATCTGGACTTCACCGTCTCCGACCAAGACCATCGAGCCGAGATCCACAAGCATGCGCTCGATCCTGCCCTAGCTGCGGCGGAGACAGAGTCCACCGCCGACGACTACGTGCTCGATCTCGTCCAGCTGCAGGCCAGCGTGAACCAGAACAATCGCGAATTGGCCGCATTGATCCGCAAGGCCCAGTCGGCGCTGGGAGTGTCGGAAGGACGGGTAGGGCAGGCCCTGCCGATCCCCGATTCCCAGTTCAAGGCCCATCTGCAGCGTAATCTGAAGGCATCCGAGCAGACGCTGGACGTCCTGCACCGCATCAATTCCCAGTTTGCGCCGGGGTTGCGCGAGACGCGCCCGCCTTCTCAATCATACGGGCTAGATCCTACCCTGAATCGACTGTACGCCGATTGTGTGAGCCAAGATCATTCGTTTGGGGTTGGGGGAGACCAGTTGGGGCTGCGCGCGACAACGCCTCCAGGAGTCTCGGCCGCCGACCCCCAACACAGTATCCTTGCCTTCCTTGTGCTGACGACCTACCTCCGTCTGCTGCACAACTTCGATGCCCTCATTTCCATCCTGCAGGACCGTCTGCGGTGTTCCGCCAGTCTCGACCCGCGGCGACCGCTGCATCTCAGCGAAGACAGCGCCGCGTCCGACAGCAGCTCCAACCCGCTCCTCGACGTGTCGCTCGGATCGTTCTCCTTCTCTTCCTCATCCGCGAGGTCGTTACAAGCCATGCTCAACGTGCAGATGATCAACACCGTTCTCACGAAAATCAAATCCTCCACCCAGCGGATGTTGCTCGGACCCGATTACCTTCCACCGTCCTCTTGCTCCTCCTCCGCATCTACCTCTTCCACTGCCTCCACCACCTCTTGCTCCACGAGAGCACCTCCCACCTCAGCAACCGGGGGACCCCACCATCCAGCCAGCGCGGGCTCCATCTTCTTCCATCACGCACACTCCCTCTCCCACTCCTCCTCCGACCACCCCTTCCCTCAGCCGGAAGGCAGGGGCTATGCTCCTTACAACCACGCATTCCACCCTCCTCCCCCATCGCGGCACACGCACAACTACCCCACTCCAGAGACCATCACTCCACCATCATCCGTCCTCGGCGGGGGAGCAGGGACCACCCCACCACCTTTCGTGTCGGGCGTCGACCACGTTGTCCGCCGGGCCTTGGCCGAGGTGCAGGAGCTGGAGTTGAGTTTGCGCAGCCGCGCGCGGGCGATCCAGCAGTGGAGTGAGGAGGGGTTTTAGCCCCACTTTGTGGGATTGATGAAGAGATGGATTCTGCTCAGTTGAAGTGGATAGTCTAGTCTCTCGAATCGGTTCTCCCTTGATGTACTGTATTGTAAAAGGATAGATTGATTAGATAGACGGGATCAATGGATAATCTTCGGATGATGCAGCCGTTCTGCCGGGTGTGACCGCCCTTGGGTGGCCACCCATCCTGAAAGAAAGACAACGTCTTTCTTCGATAGACTGGACTAGCCCGCCCATCTGCAGTCGTATCGAGTTCTTCACGGAAGGATCTCCTCATGTGATCTCAACCTGCCAAGCCATCTAGAAGCCCTCCGACCGCAACAACAAATGAGCTACCATGTGTCATCCCGCGTGCTGCGATTGGCATCGGCAGCTGGATTGGCTGCCCCCTTGCATGTCGGACAATGACATTGATATAGAGCTGCGGTGCGGTGCCGACATATAGATGAAGCATGATGTCAGTATTTGGTGGAGAGGACGCGAAACATGGCCTGAACGTGATTTGAAGATGAATCATGCCATGACGAGAAGAACCCACCGCCCGACGAAAACTCTGCGGCTTTTCCCGAATTTCCCGACACAGAACGGGTCGAAATTCGGGAAACACACCAGTTTTCCGCCACCCCGTTATTGGCCCTGATACCGACCCAGTCACTGTTTATAGTTAAAAGGTCCCAGGGCGGCCAATCAATCGCTCGGGACGGCCAGAGATCGACCCGCCGCGGGGGGGTAACAGGGTAATCGCTCTTCCCGCCGGTATTGTGTCGTTTCTCAATCCCGCGGGTAAAATCGAATCAGAAATCTTTTGTGTCACATCTCCAGAGACTGCGTGCGAATCATGCTCACCACTGCTGCTGCTGCTTGCTGTCAATCCTGAAGCTTGTTTCTTCGTTCGTTCCTGAGCGTGTTCCCCCCTGAGATAACGGGAGTCTTAGCATCTGACCTGTGACCGGTCTAGCTCACCATGAGCCCCCCGTCCAATGGACTGTTAGATGGCAATGCCACTCCCGCCGGCAAGGATTATGACTGCGAGAACACCACGAAGCCGCGGTCATCCGGCAAGAGTGCTTGGCTCGGTGAGGGCAAGCTGCCCGAGGCCGTGGACGATGGGGACCAGCAGATCATCGAGGCCGGCGAAGCCAAGTACCACCGTCTGGGGTGGAAGGGGCTCACTATCATGCTGATTGTGGAGGCGATTGGGTTAGGCTCGCTGTCGATTCCCTCCGCGTTCGCGACGCTCGGCATGGTCGCCGGCGTGATCTGCTGTGTCGGCATCGGCCTGATCGCTATCTACACCTCCTATGTGATTGGACAGGTCAAGCTGGCCTACCCGGCTGTCCGGCATTACGGCGATGCGGGGGCCCTGCTGATGGGCCCCTGGGGTAATGAGCTGTTCACCTTCATGTTGATCTTGCAGCTGATCTTCCTGACCGGCTCCAACTGCTTGACGGGCACCATCGCCCTGCAGCACATCACCGGCAGCGGCATCTGCTCCGTCATCTTCAGCGTCGTGTCGGCGATCATCTTGCTGCTGCTGTCCATCCCCTCCTCCTTCGCCGACATGGCCTGGCTGGGGTACCTGGACTTCGTGTCGATTGTTGCCGCCATCGGCATCACCATCATCGCCACGGGCGTGCGGGGCACGAACTCGGCCGGCGGCCTCGGCGCCGTCAGCTGGTCGGCCTGGCCGCAAGGGGACCCCAGTTTCTCCGACGGCTTCATCGCCATCAGCAATATCGTGTTCGCGTACACTTTCGCCAGCTGCCTGTTCTCATTTATGGATGAGATGCACACGCCGCGCGACTTCACCAAGTCAATCTGGTCGCTGGGCATCCTGCAGATAGTGATCTACACGGTGACGGGCGCGACCATCTATGCGTTCGTCGGCCTGGACGTGCAGTCGCCCGCGCTGCTGTCGGCGGGTGCGCTGGTCAGCAAGGTGGCCTTCGGGATTGCGCTGCCGGTCATCTTCATCTCCGGGGCGATCTGCACCATCGTCGCCGGCCGTCTGATCCACGGCCGGATCTACGCCAACAGTGTGACCCGGTACATCAACACGCCCAAGGGCTGGATCACCTGGCTGATCCTGATCACGGTGTTGACCATTTTGTCGTGGGTCATCGCCGAGGCTATCCCGTTCTTCGACGACCTCCTCTCCATCGCGTCCGCCCTGTTCACGTCGGGTTTCTCGTTCTACCTGCCCCCGATCATGTGGTATGTCCTCATCCGCGAGGGGCCGTGGTACTCGCGGGAGAATCTCGTGACGAGTATCGTCAACTTCCTCGTGTTCATCTTCGGGTTGATTGTGCTGGTCGGTGGCATGTATTCCAGTGTTCAGGACATTGTAAGTTCCCTGTCGGCTCTTTTCCCGGTGTGCAGAACCGACGCTAACGCGGATGCTAGATCAACAACTACCGGGAGGGTGACGTTCGCTCGCCGTTCACCTGCGGGAGTGTTAGCTAGATGCATTGGGTTCTTTTGGTTTGCTTGATTGGTTATTGCATTTTCGCATTCGCACACGCATACAGACGGCTTGTTTTAATGGTATGATATGGTACGATATTCGAAAGACTCGCATGAGAAAAGTTTGTGGCTTGAGGGGTGGTGCACACGTACGCGCTTTTCACAAAGAGCGGGATGAGCATGACTGATAGACCGCTGGATTTGCTTCGTTTGCTGTACTAATATCATGAGGAACTATGGTGATACGATGACACGGTTGTTGCATGCTTGCATTAGGCACAGCGGAAGGACAGTGTTGTACATAGCCTACCAACGATGGTAGATGAATATATAATTTGCACCGGATGTTGTTGAGGGAAAGAGACGCGGCGATGAGATGTTGACGCGGGGGTCATGTGATTAGCCTGGTCATCGGACTACTGCTTTGGCTCAAGGTCAGCACCGCTTTGCCTGGCTGATGTAGTCCCAGTGTGTTGAGCCTTTTGTCATGTTGTGGACTGTATATCAGAGCTCGAGGAACACGAAAACCTCAAAATCAGGCCCGTGGAGCTATACATTTGCCTGCCAAATCATGGTTTTGGCCTGAGATCGCAGGCTAACGACCCTGCATAATTAGTCACCGTAATTTGTGCTTCGCACAATCCAAGCTCGGCCTTTCGGACTCCGAGGTGCGGGCGAGTCTGTCCGCTCACCCGCCGATAAGCTCGCATCTTGTCGATCTGATCGGCTTTTTCCGTGATAGCGGCGATGCCCGCCAGCCCACCTTGCTTTCATATATAGACTCTTCTTCCCTCCATCCTTGACTGACTGACTGGAACTGCAAAACCAAACGAGCAAACAGAATGGCACCCACTTTTCACCCATTGACCCCGCCCCCGGGCTCCGACATCGACTTCGGAGCGGTCGTCGACCACGTCGACCTGGAGAACCTGACCGGTAAGTACATGTACACATTCCCACAGCAAGTCCCCACACAAAACCGAAAACTAACACCGAACTCGGCAGATGACGACTTCGGCACCATCCACGATGCGCTCTACAAGCACCTGGTCGTGGTCGTCAAGAACCAGCAGCACCTCAGCCCTCGCGCACAGTACGAGCTGACGCGGCGCTTCGACCCGGCGGCCTCCTCGTACGGCCACGGCAAGACGATCGACGCGAAACGCAGCATCCTGCATCCGGACCTCAAGACGGTGCCGCACCAGCCCCAGGTGCAGGTGATCGGGCACGGCCACGTCGACAGCTACGAGGGTCTGACCGACATCCAGCTCAAGCACCCCCACCACCGCACCTTCCACCGCGACCCCATCCCCGCCACAGAAGACCACGACTTCACCCGCTTCTACCGGTGGCACATCGACGCCGCGCTCTACGACCTGCACCCGCCGCGCGTCACCACCCTGCTGGCCGTCCGTGTGCCGCGCGGCCGCCGCCAGACCCTGCGCTACGACGACGGCTCCGACGAGACCCTCGACGTGCCCCTGGGCACGACCGCCTTCGTCAGCGGCGAGCGCATGTACACCCGGCTGTCCGAGGAGGACAAGGAGTTTGTCCGCACGAGTCGGGTCGAATACGCACCCCATCCGTACGTTCCCGTTCACGTTCACGTTCCCTGACCCTTTCCCAACCCAACCGAAACACAACAAAATACTACCTCAACCAACGTACTGACCGGACCCGTGAACCAGATACATCTGGATGTCCCCCGCGCGCGCCCTCCCCACAGGCCTAGGCCTCTACTCCGAGGACCGCGAACTGCCCACCGCCGACCTCCCGCCCATCGACCCCACCAAGATCCAGATCCTGCCGATGCTGTGGAAGAACCCGGTCACCGGCCACCCGGCCCTGCAGATCCACCCCTCGGCCGTGCGCAAGATCCACCTCAAGGATGGCTCCGTCATCGACGACCTCACGCAGGTCCGCGACATCGTGTACCGGCTGCAGCGCCCGGCGATCAGCCCGCCGTACGTGTATGCGCATGACTGGGAAGAGGGCGATTTGGTGCTGTTCCACAACCGCGGGGTGCTGCATTCGGTGGTCGGCGCGTTCGGGGACGGCGAGGTGCGGTTGTTCCGGCAGTGTAATTTGGCGGCGGGGGAGGCGCCGGTTGGGATGGATTAGCGATTCCGGTGCAAAGGTTAGAGATAGATATAGATATAGATGTACGGTACGGTATTAGGTAATAATGATTCACGATCTTTATTTTGATTGGGTCGCTACAAGGAGAGTCTGGTATTGGAGAGGTAGTTTCATGGGAATGACAACTCATAAGCGATGGTAATTGGAGGGTATCTAAATCAGAGCAGAATAAATAAACGTGGAAGGAATGTGTACTGTTTTGTATCCATGATGTTGTGGCATATGATCGAGTTAGGCGGGACACAAAAAAATGACAAAAAGGTCGTGCCCGGGATCGAACCGGGATTACAGGAATCAGAATCCTGGGTGCTAACCATTACACTACACAACCTGTTGCTATGGTTTGGCCTCATATCTATGCAATATATAGCATGTACAAATACAATAAACCACAGTTCTCTACAGAGCTTTTGTCATCATCGGTCAATGGAGTGGTTTTCTTTTCACTCCGTGCAACGCGTGACAGAACAGTGTTGAAGAGCAGGTATACATACATGATCGCGGCATGGGAAATACAGCTGCGCTACGGCCACTGACCGAGGTCGCATCGCGTCTTCAGATGGCTACATATTTTTGTCGGATCCCGCTTAACAAGATATATCTGGTTTCTGGGGCTGGAATTCACACCCCGGCCTCCAAACATCTCAGAGTATACCAAGTAGACCAACTACACTAGGTTGTTTTACCAGGAGACCATGATATCTCGCTGCTGACACCTACCTTTCTTCCATCACCCACCCACCAAGTAGCCTCATACCCACCTAACGATGTCTTCTACCCCAGCTTATCGAGGTCAGCATCTTGACGATGCTTCTCACTTAGGTTGGGAATCACAGTGAGTAGCTACAGCTGACCATTTATAATAAGTCTCTTTTATACCGTATCAATAGCCTTTATAACGGAAGGACGGAGTCTCGAGAGTCCTCGAGTGATCCCGGCATATAGCATATACAATAGTCGTATGTCAAGGTCGCAATTATCCTACAGCGTGTCATATTGCATATGCTCTGCCAGGCATCAGCAAGTAGAGTACCAAAACGGAGCTCGTCTTATTAAGACATTGCTACACATTACTAGTTTCTATTGTCTTTTCTTGTCCTTTGTTATAGACAAACCAGATCTCTCCAGAAACAGGCTATAAATCAATCATGCAACGCCACCTCGTGCGCATTCGTAACCAGCCTCACCCGGAGTTTCTCGGCGGCGTGGTCGAGGGCGCTCGCTGTCCATGCCGTCGGATGATGTACCTGCTGGTGATGGTCCGCATCCGCACCCGCATCCCCATCCTCGTTCTCGTGCAACCCCGTCGCCCGATACAGAAATAGCAAAGGCAACGGATTCGTCCCCCACGTATACAGATGCAGCCGCCGCGTCTGGACCGCCGTCCCGAGCCAGACCGCACAGCTCAGCAGCCACACCACTGCCGGAAGCGCGATCCACTCCCAGTGCACCGCGACGAACGGGACCATTACCATTGTGTGGCCGATAGTGAGGTTACCAGTTCGACCACTGCTGCCCGTGAGCACGGCGTCCCGAATGGTCTTGGACATCGCGGCGGCGACGTTCGTCACGGCGCAGCTGAGCTGGTCGATGCACTGGTTGCGGGCGTTATAGCTCATGATCGCCGGGGAGGCGGCGGTGGTGCTGAAGTTGCCGTAGAAGATTGCCTCGATTGTATCTGTGACCGCGTAGGAGGAGGAGGACCCAGAAGAGAAACCGAAGGTCCCGGCGGAGGCTGTCACGGATCCGGTGAACAGTGTCGAGACGAAGGTCATGAGCGAGGACCAGGCCTCGTAGCCCATCCCGAATGTCGTGTTCCCGCTCGACGGGGTCAGTGCGAACTCGAAGGTGGCGGAGTCGTTGGGGTAGTAGTAGGGGATCCAGTCGGCCACGACAGTTTCCTTGTAAGTGCCGGATGAGACGGCGGCGCGGACGGTTCGGACGATCGGCTCGAGCGCGCACTCCGTGGCGAGGAACCGGGTGCTGTTGTCGATGCTGGTCGCGATCTCCCAGGTGGCTTGGGAGTTGTTGTTGGATCCGGCAGCGAGCACGTATTGGATCACCGGGAAGGTGCTGTTCGTGTACACTAGGCTCTCGGTGCCGGTGATGGCGGCCATCGCCATGGGTTGCGAGGTGGATCCGCCTTCGCGGTACCAGGCCGTGGGCCCGTTGCCCCCCAGTTGCACCGTGCAGTTCTGCATGTCTGCGGTGATGGCCGTGCATGTGCGATTGAGATGCGACGTGACGTCGGAGCAGAGGGCCCGCATGGCCAGGTTGGATATTGGGTCCCAGGTGCAGTTTCCCGTCGGGCAGGTGTACTGGGGAATGGCCCAAGGGGCGGTGGAATCGATGTTTAAGAGGGCACTGTAGACGTTGGCTTTGAGGATGGGGTCCACATAGTGGTCTAGTTGATTATCGGGTTAGAATGGACGTGAACCATGGGGCGTTACTCGTTGGAATTACTGCGCTTACAGTCTGCGGCGATGATCGGACCAACGACATTATATAGAGATGTGGCGCCGAGGAAAGAGACTTGGGAGGGTGATTCAATGGCGCTCGACACGTAATGAAGAAGGTTCTGAATGAACGGATTGAATCCGATCGCGAGTATCACAGTAAGACTACCGAGCACGGCGAAGTGACTGATTGCGGATCAGCAAGAGAGCACTCTTTTTCGCTTTTTGGATCAAAGATCAGACTAACCGGCCTTTGAGAAGCCACAGGAGCTCTAAACTCCCAACCAATCCCCCGCGACTGGCCGAATCAAACGGCTTCAGATCGGACAGCCGCTTCATCTGGCGAGCGAACCACACCCACTTCAACTGCCCCAAGGAGTTGGTGAGGGCGAACATCAGACCGGCGCTGGCGATTGTACTCAGCCACGAGATCACCGAGTTTAGAGAGACGCGGGGCCAGTCCGGTTGCTGCCGACCATCGTAGTGGTTTAGAATCGCGGCGATCGCGACGATGCACCCGGCTGAGACGACTAGAGCCACAGCCTCGAGCGCCCAGTCCTCGATGCTGGTGAGTTTTGCAACCTTCTCGGCGGAGTTCTGGGGCGATGGGGAGGGTGTTGTCTTGCCGTCGGAATCTGAAGGCGGGAAGATAGGGCTTCCGTGGTCAAGGGGCGCCGTTGGACTGCCCTTCGCAGGGGCGGAGAGGAGATGTAGCTGGACATCATCAGTCTCCTCTCTGGAATCTGAGTCAGGGAGTTTGGTTGCCATCGAAGCGGGGATCGAATGCTTGGGCACTTGCAAGAGTCAGCGAAGCAGATGCAGCACCCGCTGGTCTTCAAGTTCTTTATACTACGGACCAAATCCGTGCGGTATTTGGTCAGTTGCTGTCTCGTATCGAGTATACCCCGTGAAAACGATAAAAATCAGCTTTGGGACCCATTTTCCGGCCCCCAATGGGTGCACTCAGTCAATTTACCAATCATCAATTTCCCCTGCTGCAGAGTCTTCGACGCAGACAATGCTCGATTTGCGCTGACGGTGATATGTTATGCGGCTCATGGTCATGTGCTGAGTTATCATCACAGCGTGCGCTTGACAAGGCTGGCTCGGATGCTACCATTCTGTGTTGGCAAGCTCCATGTGATTCCTGCTGTGATGATTGTGTTTCGGGGAGGGGAGTCGGGCATGAGAAAGAGCGGGGCGGGTCTGTGCGCGGCATGGGGAAGCTTAGCTGACCAGGTTGAATACTCCGGCATGCTCTGATTGCGTCGGGCTCCATGCAATGCGCTAGCAATGCGTTAGCACTCGCCTACTAGTAGGTCTGTGCTATCGCTCGGAAGATCCGAACAAGGAAAGAAGATACTTCCACAAATGGGTTAGTTAGCTGGAGGAGGCTGGAGCCTCAAGGTGACCGACCCTTCAGTCCCGTGACTCCCGTCGGTATTGCCGGTACCTCAACACATGGTCAATGGAACGCACCAGAAATATGGGTTTCATGCTGGTCTATCATCATATCATTATCCAGGCTGAAGCTTACCATCCCTGTCAACTAAGAGGGCACTGGTGGAAGAGTATACCTGTACGCGCATGAGCCCAATATCCGGATCAGATTAGAGACAAGTATAAGATAGCAATTATAACATAAAGAATACAATTAACCACCAGCAACCTATAGGCCCATCTCCGTAAACACCACCCCCCTCTGCCGCTCCATCAAATCCACCAGCGTCGCCGCCACCAGCCCGTCCATCCCACATTCTTTGGCTCGTCGCACCCATTCTCCCACCTCCACCTCCTCGAACACACACCCAGCCTCCTCTTCCAACTCCTCCTTCAATTCTCGCGGAGACAGCTTCCGCGCATTACAGTGATGCACATACTTGACCCCGTCCCTCTCATACTCATCCTCGTCCCCCAAAGCGGAAGCAAGTATCCTCGAAGCAACAGCATCGACCCCCACAAAGTCAAACCGCCAATTCACCCCCTCCGTTACCGGGAAACACCGCATCGTCCGCGCATACTGCACCATATTGTGCATGATGTCCATGGCCGGGGGTTCATACTCCGACGTACCGGGCGTACCGGGTTGTCGGGCGACGATGCTCGCGGGCCGATGCACCACCACCGGGAAGTGCACCCCACGCAGGTGCAAAGCCTCAGCGGCGTTCTCGATGAGACGCTCACTGGCCCATTTACTCGCAATGTACCCCTGTTCCCCCGGAGGCGGGTAATTCCGGACTGAAACAGGGGGCCAAGTTGGTTGGCCGGTGAGGTTGACCACTCCGCCTGTCGAGACGAAGTGGAATGGGATGCCCCGTTCGATTGACAGCTGGAGCAGGAAGCGAGTGGAGTGGAAGTTGGGCCCCCGCAGAGTGGAATACGATTTCAAGAAGGACACGGAGGCGCCATTGTGGATTATCAACCCTATTCTGTTCGAGAGACTGGCAATGGCCCCGTCATCCAAGGAGAGAGTGGGATGGGAGAGGTCGCCGGGGTACAGGGTTAGTTTAGCGGCGTGGTCGGCATTGCGGGTCAGGGACTGCCGGGATACGCTGCTGTTGCGGATGGCCAGGCAATGAACATGTGCGATCCTTGGATGGGTGAGGAGCTGGTGCAGCAGGGTCCGACCGAGGAAACCCGTTGCGCCAGTCAAAATAACCTCGACTTTCGAATCAGGGCTGCACCGGGGAGATGTCTGAATAGCCCCAAGCAAGGAAGGCGTGAGCTGAGTCTCGCTTGCCCAGTCAACCTCGGTGGTTTCCTTGGTGGCTTCATGAGCCTGCAGAAGACGGGCCATCGCCGACAGCCCCGGAGTCGAAAACAACTCCGTCAACGCCACGCTCTTCCCTGTCAACTCCTCAATCACCTTCTGCAACCGCACCAGAAGCAGCGAGTTCCCCCCAACGTCGAAGAAATTGGAGTCTGCTGACAAGAATGCCTCGCCAGGTAGAACCTCACGCCACGCCTTGGCCATGACCTCCTCCTCCACTCCCAGCGGAGCAGGTTGACTGTTCGTTTCGATCGCGATCGGCGTCCCGGACAAGTTGCACAAAGCCTGACGATCTAGCTTCCCTGACGTGGTGTGAGGCAGCTTGCCTACTGCCATGAATGACGAAGGCCGCATGTATCGGGGGAGAGGGAGCGACCGAGCGAGACTCGCTACCAGGAACGAAAGTGAGTCAACTTGCACATCAGGATGCACGACGACATACGCTGCCAACACCGCATTCGCATTGTCGCCCTTGACGCACACCCCTGCTGACAAAACCGTTCCCTCAGACGTGGCCACAATAGCCGTCTCGATCTCATCCAGCTCCACTCGCTGTCCCCTGATTTTCACCTGCGCGGATCCCTCCATCCGACCCAGAAACGCTAGTGACCCATCAGACAGCAGATAGCCTCGATCGCCCGTCCGATACAGCCTGTCCCAGCCACGCTGTACGTCTTCCTCACTAGCATAGATGTTCTTGACGAATTTGCTAGCCGTGAGCCGGGCATTGTTCAGATACCCTTGGGCCACGCCTCCTCCACCAATACAGATCTCGCCCGGTACACCTGCAGGTACCGGTCGGCGCTGTTCATCAAGAATAAAAACGGAGTAGTTCGTCAACGGACGACCACACGGGATCAACTCTGTGCTACTATTTGGTCCATCCACCCCGACAATCATCTGCATACTCGACGACACAGTGATCTCGGTCGGACCGTATCGGTTCCACACTCTCAGTGCGGGTAGCTTCAATCCCCGGAAAAGAGGGATCAGACTGGACAAAAACTTCTCTCCGCCACAAAACGCGTTGCGGTACGTCACGCATTGCTTCAAATGCTCTGCACCATACACCACGAGATTGTGGTACTCGGACGAGGTCATCTGCGTGTAGGTAATCTGCTCCCGGGCCATCAAACTGGCTAGCTGCACCGGATCGCGTCTCACCTCCGGAGGAGCCATCACTAACGTTCCTTGCCCGGCTAGAGCGGCGTAAACACAATCGATTGAGGCGTCGAACGCAACGCCGCTCTGGTGAAGCACTGTCTCCCTCTCCAGAGATGCATTTTGTCGCATCGATAGGATCTGGCATGTCAGATTGCCGTGACTGACAATAACCCCCTTGGGCTTTCCGGTGGACCCGCTGGTATACAAGATATACGCGGTGTCGTTGACACTGGCCCTGATCAGAAAGGCCTCGTCCATCCCGGACTGTGGTGTGGGAACAGCTATAGTGCCACCGGCCAAGGATGTAGCAAGATCCTTGGTCTCCTCGTGGTAGAGGATGGCTCGCGGCTTGCAGTCTTCAACAATAGTTCGCAGTCGCTCTTCTGGATGCTCGATGTCGACCGGCACGTAGGTGCAGCCGGCATAATGAATGCCCACAATTGACACAATGGTGTCCAGGCTCGGCTTGCAGGCGACAACAATCGCAGCCGACCCCTTAAGCTCCTGTAGCTGTCTGGCCAGCTTCTGTGCACGACCCTGCAATTCCCCATAGGACAAGAACTGACCGTCCGCTTGCTTGACAGCCACATCCCTGGGGTGAGCCTTGCAGTGTCGATCAAACAAATGCACCACTGTCAGCAAGTGCTCGTCTGTATAGACGCGCTCACCCCGGCTAAGCTCGAGTGCGTGTGTGATACTCTTCTCATCAAACATTGCGAGGTTAGCAACCGGCATGCTGGGCCGAGCTGTAACCTCCTCCAGAATGCTCACGAGCGAGGACAAGATAAACCCCAGACCCTCCTTGTCGTACAGATACTCTTGCCCCCTAACGGCAACCTTACAATTCCCATCCACAAATTCCTCCACTTCTACCACCAGATCTAGCCCTGTTCTGGCATCATCCATACGCAAGCTCTGCGCCCTACAGCTTCCCAGTGTCGCCTCCTCTGTCGACCCCATCTTATAGTTCAGCAGGATCTGAAACAACGGATTTTCCGAGGGCGACCGCTGCACGGTCAATTCATCCAAGAGCACCTGATACGGCACGGCTGCATGCTTCAACGCCGTGCGGACCTGCCTGGTGGTGGTGGATAACAAGTCACGAAACGACTGGCCAGGGCGAGCGGTTCGGAATTGCAGCGGGAGCATGTTGACGAACATCCCCACGACCTGAAGAGCTTCCTTGTCCGCTCGCCCGGCGTCGGAGATCCCGAGGCAGATGTCCTTTTGTGCGTGGCCTAGGAGCCAGAAAACCAGCTCCCGGAGAGTGGTGAGGTATAGGAAAAATGGGGTCGTTCCTCCGATCTTGTGTGCAGTTTCTTTAATCTTCGACGCGAGGGAGATACCGATGGTTCTCTCCACACTGTGCACGCGGTAGCTGTTGAGTGGTTTGCGGGTTGAAACGCGGGCGAAGGCAAAGAGAGGGATCGGTGGGGGCAGGTTGGCGAGCTTGCTTTTCCAAAAGTTCAGACTCTCGCGGTAGGTGTCGTTTGCGAGAGACTGGCGTTGCAGAAGTGTGTAGTCCCGGTACCGTGGAGCCGGTGGTAGGATTTGTCCTGTGGAGTATATCAACTGCAGGTCTTTGATAAAGATCTGCGCGCTGAAGCCATCGAGTGCGATGTGATGGAACCCAAGGATAAGGAAGTGCGTGGTTGGGGTGAGAGTGAGGATCGCCACTCTCATGGTTTTGCCACGAGCGAGATCATACACATGATCTCTGACGGAAGTGTAGACTTCGTCGACGCTCTGGGTCGCCCCAATGGTATGAATGCTGATCTCGATCTGTGTTTCAGGCAGAACGCCCTGGAACAATTGGGGGTCTCCGTCTCTCGAATCGAGGAAGAAAGCTGTTCGCAAGGACTCGTGTCGATTGGACATGGCTCGGAAGGCAGTCGCAAGCTCGACGGGCTGCAGTGGCCCTTGCACGGCGTAGGCCATGGTGACGTTGAAGGTTGTGAGATCGGTCAGGTACTCGTGCAGAAACCAGATTCTCTCCTGGGCAAACGAAGCTCGCTCTATGGCTTCGAATTGTGGTTGTAGATCTGGTATCCCGTCTTCTGTTTGCACCGCCTCCAAGTTTGGCGACATGCTCCCTGGGGTTGAGGCATATGTAGAGTGGTATGCACTGGATGACTGACTGTCATCCTCCAGGGCTGTGCTGCAGATGTCCTCGTGCAAACCTTTTGTGAGCTGCTGCAATGGCCGGACTGATACCAGGTCAACAGAGTTTTGTAGCTGCTTGTGCTCAACGTCTGTGATGCGGGCGTGGGGCGTGATATTTGTGGGCTGGACCCGACTTCCCAGCATCTGCCAGAGTTCCGGGGTGGATGAAACACCCTCTGTCACGGCCACAGACTCAGGAGCAGCCATATCGTTGTTGGCAGTCATGAAGATGGCAAGATCTCTAGAAAGAATGCTAGAGCACCGAGTGTGTTGAATATTGCACGGTATCTGTATTGTGTATGGAGCCGGATGTCGAACAGGTATTGGAGTGTACTTTGTATACTGACTGCGGGCTAAGCAGGTTGCCACCGACACGTGTAGAGACTGGTCAGGGGCGCTGTCACAGCACTTCTGTGAACAGGAACGGGCCTCGCTGAGTCACTGCCACTCGGCCAGTTACTCAGAAGGATCTCGGCGCCTTGTTGTCGCCACTGTCCGCAAAACGGATATGTACAGCACCATCCACAAGCAGACGCTGAGGGTCACTCAGTAAGACCTGGGGATTGACATGGTCCTGGAGGTAAGAATAGTGTTTGGTAAATGGCGTTTGGCAGGAACGGTTTCACCTGGGGAGCACCAATGCAAGGTCTGGTGTGAAACAGTGATGAGGCTCAAAGTCGCCGAATGTCACCGATCGGGTCACCCATGCGATTTTGACGGCCACCGGGGTAAGAAAAGATTTGACCCACTTGATTGGAACTGGGTTGTATGGTAGCATAGGCCAGGCTAGGTTCTTTTGCAATGACCTGCAACCTGTTGGCCGAATCCTGAAGCGCTCTATCTGGCCGGTCAACGGTGTTGCCTCAAAACGCCACCAACATTTCGTAGATCGTCTATCAAATAGCAAAACAATCAGCAACTCCAATTCAGTTGCAGGAATGTGGACTGATCTGTCCAGGGAACTATCCCTAATGAAATGCGTACGTGGTGGTCTGAAAGCGAGGCAGCGTGGAATCTGTCTGCTCAGCGGGAATCATATTTGCCACGCTGTAATGAAGTCCCACGTGGGCGTGCATGTAACGTTAGGTAGGGTCATTATCTATTGTAGAATAGCTCTCCGCGCTACTTAACACAAGCAAGATGATCCTTGCGTAGCTCTAATGGTTGTCATCACGTTAGGTGGGAAAGACGCGAGAGTCAAAGGCAAGAAGATTGTTTACCGTGAGGGAAGCGAGAGGTGATGATACGGTAGCCTGTAGTTACCAACTGTGCAGCCCGATATGGTGGGCGGCGCGCAGTGTCCTGGAGTCCCAGCATGCTACACAACAGTATTGAATTCACAGTGTCAAATCCATGATCCCTGCCAGATAGCAGAAGACTTACATCAAGCGATAATAGCATTGGCTCTTGTATTTTCCAAATAGGATTTGTCTAACAGATGTGTAGAAGTCATGGCTTACGGCCATTTTCACCCTTGTCGTTCTCCGAGGGAGGCATTCCACAGACACCCAGTTCTCTACGGCGCTCGAATGCACAGCACCAGTTGGACCACAAGGCCAACTTAGACAACACCTAAAGCAACAGTTCGACCATTTGCTGACATGCTATTACGCTTATTCACCGCCGATGGAATCATGGCCTGATCGATTGGCCAATACAAAGTCACCGAACGCGAACACCGGCCGCGGATCCGCCAGAGATACATATTCAGCCCTGAGAACTCCGGTCGAGCGATCGTGACTGAATCTAGAGAATCTAGAGTGCAGTACTGGCATTGCAGCTGGTGTTCTTTAGAGAATCAACTGAATCAAACTCAGTGGCAGACACGCTCAATGTCTTCACTCTTGGTGGATCTTCCCGCCGTCATCGGCGTGGAAAATCCCAAGGATGTGTTAGTTCCACTCATTGTGGGAGCGGTCGTGATCGGGTTGACCATTTTAGTCCGCGAGAGAATGAGGGTCAGGGGATTGGTGAGTCTGTCTTCATTACTGCCGTGTCTGGAACAGCGCAAGAATATGTACTGACTGATCAGCCTGGTCCCCCCCACCATCTCCTCTTGGGCACTCTTCCTGCATTTATGCATGTGCAGAGCCAGAGCCCCAAGGATCTTCACCCCCAGGCCCAGATGACGATGCTACAACGGCTGTACAAACTAGGTGACATGTTCACCGTCGACACCTGGCCCCTGATGGACCAGATGTACCTGGTGGCCAACCCCAAACTCGCCCACCAGGTCTCGCAGGACAGCAGCCCGTTTCCCAAACACCCGATGATCACGCGGTTCCTCAAACCGCTGACTGGCTACAACAGCGTGCTGGCCGCCAACGACGCCAAATGGAAGGAGTTGCGCAGTCTGTTCGCCCCGGGCTTCTCCAACGCCCATCTGATGACCATGGTGCCGCTGATGGTCGAAAAGACCGAGGTCTTCTGCGACCTGCTGCGCGAATACGCCGCCAAGCACGAGCTGTTCTCCATGGAACCGATGGCCGCCCGACTGACCATCGATATCATCGGCATCGTCGTTCTGGGAGTCGACTTCAAATCACTGACCCGCCGCGACGAGCTGGTCGAAGCCTTCCGTCACCTCCTGGACCTCCTGCCCAACGGCCAGACCCTCGACATCAACCCGGTGACCCACTACCTGCGTCGCAAGTACGCCAACACGATGGACAACTACATTCGACGTGTGCTGCGCGACCGCGCCGCCAACGGGGCCAATCAGAAGTTCCGCACGCTGATGGACATCGCGATCGAGCGGTACGAGCAGCTGCCGAACGGGTCGTTATTCGACTGTGGATTCGAGCAGCTTGCCGTCGATAAGTGTGTGCCAGCTGCCTCGTTTGGGTGAGCAACTGACTCATTTTGTGTAGTCTCAAAACTTTTGTCTTCGCTGGCCACGACACCAGCAGCACCACCCTCAGCGTACGCCTCCGCGGTCTGACTTGTTGATTGATGCTAACAACCATAGAACATCTACCACCTTCTGAGCAAGCACCCCGAGGTCTTGGCCAAGGTCATCGAAGAGCACGACCAAGTCCTGGGCAAAGACACCGCAGCGATCGGCCAGCTCATCCGCGACCAGCCCTCCATCATCAACAAACTACCATACACGACGGCCGTGATCCGCGAGACCCTCCGCCTGTACCCCGCCTCCGGTAGTCTCCGCATGGCGCCGAAAGAGTCAGTCCTCAGCCCCCTGCCTCCATCCCATGTCTCGTAAAAGAAAAGCTAGAAGACTAAGAAACCGACAGCACAACCTTCCACCCCGACAAAGCCCCCGCCGTGACCGTGCCCAAGGGCAGCCTGATCTGGGTGGGGATCCACACGATCCACCACGACGCGGAGTTCTTCCCGTGCCCGGACGAGTTCCACCCGGAGCGGTTCATGACGGCCAAGACGGTCACGCTGGCGGACGGGCGCACCGAGGCCGTGACGGCGGGGTGGAACGGCCACGCGCCGCCCGCGGACGCCTACCGGCCGTTCGAGAAGGGGCCGCGCATGTGCATCGGCAGCGAGATGGCCATGATCGAGATCCGGGTCGTGCTGGCCATGACGCTGCGGCGGTTCCGGTTCGCGTCCGCCTACGCCGAGTACCGGCGCCGGCACCCGGACGAGGTCGAGGCCGCCGGCGGACGCACCGAGGCGTTCGGCGACGAGGCGTACCAGGTCTTCTCGTCGACGGCGAAGCCCAAGTCCGGGGTGCCGATGTATGTGTATACGAAGGAGTAGGTGGGCTTTTGGAGGTGTTGTTTAGTTTATGAATTTGAGTCACGTTGTGGTTTAGGACTTGAACACGTATCATGTGGTAGTTTCTATTGGAAGGGCCTGCACTGAGTCCCAGCTTTGCATACGATCGGTATTCTTGTTCCGTTCTTCAGTTTTTACCTTCCTTTTTATCTAGTTCTTCCATCTATCTTTCTGTCTCTCCTCCTTTCTTGCGATCTTCTGCCCTTATTATTGCTGGTGAAGAACCGTCATATGGTATTCGAGACGAGCATACGCATAGACAGACAAATGTGGACAGGGCAAGCCAACGTCAACATCCACCACAAGCGTTGCTACAAACCCACACGCAGTACAGCACACATTCCTTCCACAAAAATACATCCAACATAGCAAGATTCATTACATATCAAGCCACTCGTCCTGGAAACTCTGACCAATACGTCCCCTTCTAGCGCTATCATACCCTCTTCAACGGCGCCAACCCGAACATATTCCTCTCAAAGTCCAGCACAACATACAACCCCTTCAGAATCCCATCGCCGAGCGAAATCACGGTCGCATCCCCAGTCTCGGTGCGACTATGCTCCCACACATGCGCATTGAGATAACACTGCCCGGTGGCGTAGATCACCTGGACGTAGTCCTCGGGCGCGACCGAGTAATTCCCGCGACGATCGAGCTCATACACCAGCTCGGGGAACCCCTCCGCCGCGCAGTCGACCACAAACCAGTCCTGCGTGGCCATGCCCGTCGTGCTCGAGGTCCACTGCGCCGCGATCGCCGCCCGCGTCGCCGCATCCGCCTTCCGACCCCGGACCAGCCGCACCAGCTCGGCGTACTGGTTCGCCGTGACGGGGACCCCCAGCCCCTCGGACCCGTCATCCAGCACCGCCAGCGGGGTGACCAATTCCTCGTTCACCCCCGCGGCGGGAGACTCATACCGCGGGGCCCCGCGCCGGTACTTCCGGTCGCCGTGCTCCGCCGGCAGGAAGTCTTTGTTCAGGGCCGTCGCGGGAAACGGCACCGCGTAGTTCGGCGACCAGCGCGTGCGCCCGTCCGGGAACGTCTCGGCGATCCACCCGCCGGTCCACGGCGCGGCCCAGAAGTTCCAGATCGACGGCTTGATCGGCAGGAACATCTCGTCACCCAGCCACGGCGGCGTCACGATGGGGTACCAGATGACTTGGTCGGCGTCGTACAGCGTGGTGTCGGTGCCCCCGAACACGAACTGGGCGTCGCCCCCGTGGCAGAATCCCCGGGAGGAGAGCTTGGCGCAGCTGTTGAAGCCGATCTGCGCGCCGGTGCGGCCCTGCTGCCAGGCTTGGTAGTGCGTCGGGTGGTAGGTCGCGTTCAGGCCGGGGATGACCGGCGCCAGGCCGAAAATGCCCCCGAACGGGACGGGCGGCACGTAGTGGCCTGCGAAGGGGAAGTCGGAGACTTGGATGGTGGTGGCCGGGCCGGTGCAGAGGCTGGAGGTGTTGTCGGGACTGTTGATGCACACTGTGTCGGTGGCGTAGTCGACGGTGAAGTCGGGCGAGTAGAGGCTCGTGTCCCACCGGAGGCGCGGGAGCGCGGTTCGGTTGCTGTAGGTCGTCGACGCGCGCTCATCGAAGTAGCTCTGGCCTTCGGCGACGCAGTGCGCCGGGTCGTAGCGCCCCTCGCAGCGGGCGCTGCGCGTGAACAGCGTGACCCACGCCCAGTCGCTCAGCACGGTCAGGTTCTGCGGCGGGGTGCCGACGGTGATGTTGAAGAGGTAGCCGAAGCCGTTCCAGGTGGCGGGCACGGAGGTCGATGGGAGGGTATTTGAGGTTCCCAGCCAGTTTAGATTGTTCAAGATGGGTAATTGCCAGTTCACCAGATCATTCACACTGGTGGCTCCGGAGAGGAAGATCGACGCAAGGATGGAGGCAAGCGCCCCGAACAGGAGAAGGATATACATGGCACGACTGAGAGCTCCCGCACTCACTCACACTCACAGGTCCGAATAACGTTCAGCATTTTCTGCATCTGTACTAGATAGTGTAACTATAAATCATCATCATGGGGAGAGTGCTTCGGCGGGTTATCGATCCATATCGAAGATCGATGCTATCACGTGGGGAACGTGCCCTAGAAATGCGCCGAAGGGCCCACCCACCCCTCGGCCCCGGCATGATTGCCGTCAGATAAAGTCCCCGCGGCACCGAACCATCTGTGGAGCGAGTGGCCACGCGACGATGCAAATCGAGATTTCAACCAATAGAGCTTTATAAACAATGAGTGACTTCACTTGGCGAACAATCCTCAGTCAGGCCATCGAGCTCCCTTGGCTGGAGCTTCACACTCCTGCTGCGGAGTCTCGATCAACGCTGAATTAGCCAGACAGAATTTGATAGAGAGAGAGAGAGGCAAGATTCGGACTCTAGAAGCCGGCAGGCTCGGTTTGATTGACTTCTAGTTGATATAGCAAACAAACAAGCAAGCCGGTCAAGTTACCGAGGAAGAAAATCGGATCAATATGTCACCACTCAAGCATTAACCGGCGGAAGCCTGTAGATATACCTACTCTAATGAGCGGCGCTGCAGTTGGGCAAATGTTACATTGTTCCGACTGTTTTTCGTGTTCGCTGCCGCTCACTGGATGAGGAAGTGCATACTGTGCTTGAGATAGACTCGGCTGGATCTTTCGACCGAATAAGTACGTTGTCGAAGGAAGGAAAGGTGCAGTGGCTCTAGCTTGCTTTGTCCTGACATGAAACCTACTTTCTGGGGGTTTGTACTCCATTCTACAAAATGATGGATCGATAAAGAGTGTAGAAGTCGCTTCCTCGGTTGTGCGGGTCCGCTACTGATGGAAACAAGCTGATTGAGCCTTGCACGCACCGGCAACGTGCTTTCTCCCTCCATCGGACGCGCAGTGCCATGGAAGAATAGATACAACGCTTGCTTGGCGACCGTCGTTCCCTAGCTAGGAAACCGTAAAAGGTTACACCAAACGCCACCGAGCTTGCTAAGATGTCATTTGATTGACTAGACCCCCTAAGACTCGGTGCGCTATCTTCACAGAAATCATCACCTTATTTCATGCATTAGCCCGTGATCTTCGAGACCCATCTCCAGACGCTAATGCCTGTACACCCCGCCCGTCTCCTCCGCATTCAGTTTCATCTCCGTAATATTCGTGTTTGCAATGACCAAGTTCGCAGCGAGAAGGTCGAGCAGCTCGGGGACCATCCGCACCGTGGCCTCGATCTCGCGCGTCTCGTCGTGGATGCCCACCACGAGGACGGTCTGGTCCACGACCGTGCGCTCGTCCGCGATGAAGACCGAGTACGGGTTGATGACGGTGTCGCGGGCTGTCTCGGTTACGAAGCGGACCATTCGGATTGTGTTGTCCCCACAAACGGGGAGACAGAGCCATCGTCCACGTGCCCGTCGGAGGTGGCGGAGTCGCAGTCGAGCTGGAGAAGACGATCGAGCTGAAGCAGGCAACTGACGAGTATAGACCCTAGATCCTTCTGTAAACAGAGCCCGACCTGCCGAAACGATGGGGTCAATTCCATCTTCGAGGCGGTAATTTTGCTCTTCGGAGCAGAGGAGAGGAATTTGTTGAAGATGTGATGCCTGCTGGCAATAGCACGGCGGGTGACCAGGCAGAGGAGTGGGAGCCAGTGAACCTGAGAACTCTTGAGGATGAAGATGGCAACCTCCACCTCGTCATCGCGGAAGATCCAGATCATCCGATCCGAGTGGGAGACGAGGTCTGGACTGATTCGATAAATGGGACTGTCAAGCTTGTGCGGGAAGTTCCGAGTGAGGAGACAGGGGATGAGGGTTCCGGAACACATGGTAGCGAGGAACGAGAGTAAATGGCTCCTATAGCTGGGACTTGCGGGAAACTGCATACCGCGCTCCTGTGGATCCGCAGTCTAAGACCTGCTTGATGATGCTATAGCTATGTTGCTAGTACCCGGTTGTCGCAAGATGTACCTTGTCACAGTAGGGTATAGTTCTTCTGCCTACAAAGATCTGTAATTCAATAAGTAGTGAAAGTAAATTATTATATAATCTTACGCTTTTATTCTATGCACTTACTCTTCTAAAACAGATGTAGCAGCTCTATCTTGCCAATTCCGAAGATACACGGAGCAGTATTCAAGGTCTGTTTCATACAGCGATCTGTATTATCAGCGGCTGATATTGTATTAACAGACCCTCTCTATCACGAAGAGAATTCCCGGGCTGATTATGGTATACTTAGTGTAGTATCTATCAAACTTTAAGTTATGTACAAAACTATGTTTCAAGCTAGATCGACAATTTATACTGTGAAATCGGAGAGGGACATAATCAAGAACAGTATCGAAGGGCAGGTGGACCCCGTAGAGACATGGTGATTTTCACCGGGTGACAGCCACCAGAATGGCATCCTATAATGTCGTTAAAAGCAGCGATAGATTTCGTTTGACCTGCGACTACCCTCCCACCGACAGCAAACGAAGTGAATGAGTTGCAAATTCACAACAAGCCCATACACGGCAACCATCACATATCAAGTACGCCAGACCCACATATGTTTTCCTTAGGAAACCGCGTCTCCTCTCCTACATCCCATCTTCTCCCCTCCGTTACTTTCCCCTACGATCACCACCATCACCACCATCACCAAACCCACCATCACAACCACCCACCAACAGCCTCAAGCCACCAACAATGCCAGCAACAACCCCCACCATCTGCATAGCCTGCGGCTCCACCGCCACCCTCCACTGCGCCGGCTGTCTGAACCCCCCGGCCTACCTACCGGGCTCTACCGCCAGCGCCGCGTACTGCACCCGCGCCTGCCAAAAGCGCCACTGGCCCATCCACAAACACGTCTGCAGAGTGATGACGCAGCGGACGAGACTCCAGCGCGCCGCCCAAATCCTCAAGACCGCGCTACTCACCTACCGAGCGACATTGTACGACATCGCCCTCACGAAGATCGACCTCCGCGACGGGACGCTCTACCTGCACCAGACGGCTAGAGACCCTGGCACCCGTGTCCGCTTCCCAGACCATCTCACCACTACACCGGAGAAGAGGGAGGCAGCCCTGTGCATGAACCAGTGCACGGCCGCGATGGCGCTGTTGAGTGGGATGATCCGGAAGCTTCTGGCCGGTATGGCCTTCCCCGCATCCCGCACTGATGACCTAGATTCTGTACTGATCAGGAGGGATAGGTATGGACACGCGAATCAGATTCATGGACCTCCAGATCGGCAAGAAACCTCGTCCGACGCGACTCGTTCCCGGCCCTGATGCGACGGGGTGTCCGCATACCGTGCTGGTGGTGACGATGCGCCTCTCGGGCGAGGAATGGGCTCTCGATCCGACGGGCGGCCAGCATGGGTATTGCGAGGGGCTGGTCCCGTTCTCGAGGTATATGGCTGAGCGCGAGGCGAGGCCGTTGGGGCGTCCCGTGCGCTATGATGCGACCGAGACGTCGGATCTGGATTCTCTGGTCGGTCTGCCGGGATTGGGGGCGCGAAGGAGGGATTTGGAGGTGGAGAGGCGGGCGAGAGAGTATTTTGCGGGGTTTGTGAGGGATAATGTTGGGAGTCAGATGTTGGATGGTACTGCGGAGGAGTTTGAAAAGAGGTTGGAGGGGTTTGTTGAGGGGCTGAAGGAGCATTTGTTGGAGTTCCGAGTGTAGGCGGTGGTTGCGAGAGAGGTTCTCAAGGGTTTACCCATCAAGTTGTGAGGGTGTTTGTGCTTATCCTTGGGCGTTTGGTGGCTGTATGCCACGTCAGGGGTATAGTACATGCGCTGCTAATTGATTCTCTGGAATGGTTTATCTGTTCGTGTAAAGGTAGGAAGGGTCTGACCCCCTCCCCCGGTTGATGATAAAGAGATTATGAACTCGGAAGTAGTCAATCTTAAGGTCCGTGTGTCTAAGGACTCTCAACTTTATCAGAATGGCCTAAAGGCCAACGGTTTTGAATTTCGGTTTCGTTACTAGGAAGCATTTTATATCACCTACCTATCTATCAGATTATTTCACTTTCTTCCTCGTCAAAGGTACTGTACACCATACTCTCCAAAAGAATGTCAAGTCTAAATTTCTTCCAGTCGATACCTGACCATCCAAAGGTCACTGAGTGTGCGTAGGTTTGGAGCTTTTGCGAGTCAATAGCAACTTCGTCGAGAAACGCCGCCTTGCAATGGAAAAGTGGCTTGCTTGGCGCCTGCACAATAAGAGTCCAAGGCCGGAGCTCAGGCACATTTGATTCAATTATCGATTCTCCAGTCCACCCAATCTTTCAACTCTGACTTCGTAAGCTTCATCCCACACGATTTATATCTAAATGCAGGAGATTTTACCTTTTGTCCTAATGAGCCTGTTAAGCGGCTTCTGCCTGAAACTTACAGTATACAGTATCCTTGCAACTGGTCACGGGTGTCGAGGCAATATATGGAATACTGATGAGGAACACTCAGGTATCGACACGAAGATCGGATTCTGTCCTATCGAGATCGTCCCCGCCCCTGACGCGACAGGGGGTGGGCAAAAGAACATGACGGTTCTGCTGATATGATCCACTTGATTCGTCCATAAATCATGGCTCTACGAGACATGGTGCACATCACGGAGTACCTTCGACGGTTGTACCGAGAAATAATGTATCCACTTTCTTCTGAATCGACTTCATTCATCGCTCGCAAGGTGTTATACAGCACGGTGCTATTGTCGATCAGGTTTTGGTAGACCGCGGGATACGGGTGTGGCAGGGAGTACAGCAGGATCAAAGTCGCATAGACGGCGGCATGCTTACACGTCCAGCCGTACAACTCAATCAAGCCCACATGGGGGTCCCTGTTCGCCGGCTCCATGAAGTCCAAGTACGCGGCCAGGAGGCGCGGCGCATCCGCCCCGGGGTACGCGGTGAAGCCCGCCCACAGCTTGCCGATGGGGTGCGTCCGCATAGTGAATTGGGTCACCACACCAAAGTTGTTCAACCCGCCTTTCAGAGCCACGAAGAGATCCGGATGTCTATCTGCAGAAACACGCAGAATCTCCCCGCTGGCCACAACAATCTCGTACTCGAGCACGTCGTCGCAGCCCCATCCTGCCGTCACGCTGGGGACGCCGATGCCACCACCCGTCAGGAAGCCTCCTGCCCCGATGGCAGCATCGCATCCACCTGTGACGATAATGTTGAGCGGATCCAGGACCTAATAGACTTGGAGCCAGCGGGCCCCGGCTCCAATCTGCACGGTCGCACGGTCGGAACTCACCTCGACGGTGCTGATGCTGCGGAGGTCGACGGTAACGCCGTCCTTGATATTCGCTGCCCCGGCAGACAAGCCGTGTCCGCCGCTGCGGATAGCAAACGGCTCACCCCGCTCGCGGTGCACTAGGACCATAATCTCGACAATAATTAAGACATCTCTGGCGGAGGTGGGCCGGACCACGCACGCTGGATAGACGTTTTGTTCTTAGTAACTGAAGAACAAACCGATGGACTCGTTGTAGCCGGGACTGTGCGTAAGGGAAACAAGTCCTTGAAGTTGGGAACTAAGCAGGTTGCAGGCTGTGGGACTGGTAGCTGGCTGATGGTTGTAAAACCTTGCCGCTGCCCATAGCCCAACAGCACCGGCTGCGTACACAACAACTGAAGCCATACTGGGCCGGTTGAGCACACAGGAAAAACAATTTAAGAAGAGAAAGGTAAGACAGAGGGAACAGTAAGACTCGTAGATGTACCTAATAGCGTAGAGCGAAGGATAGCTGAGCTGTCAGCTGAAAGTACACAAGGTAAGCCTGGATCCAAGCATCAGCAAATTAATCGTAGGCCCTAACCGCCGATCATCGCGTTTCTTTGTCTCGTGCATCAAACTAGAGCCGGCCACCCATGCAGTTATAAAAGTACTTACTGGTTCAACCAACCTTACTCACTAGTTCAACCAACCACAAGAGAGGGGAACCAACAAGTCAGAGAAAAGCAAACATGGCGCGATCAGTTCCGACTTACCCGACGGGTTGCAAGAACGAGGTATTCCCCTCCAGGGGTCCTACGATGCCTGGGCTGGGACGGGAAACCGCCCGCAACGGTCTGTGGGTACAGCAATACTATCGTATGTACAGTACCTTTGTTCATTTGCGCTGGAGCCAATTTCATTCTCCAGGTCCACTGCTTTGGCCTGTGATTTACTTAACACACGTCCCTCAAAGATAAATCTTGACCTCTTGCGCTCCAATTGCATTGACCACCTCTGTGAACCCAGAATGTCGAAGAAGTCCGTCTTGATCATCGGCTGCAGCAACGATGGCATCGGCTACGGGCTTGCCGTGCACTTCCAGCGCCGCGGGTTTCGGGTCTTCGCGACCGCGCGCAGCCTCTCCAAGATGTCGAACCTAGAGGGTCTGGCTGATGTCACCTTCCTAGAGCTGGACATCTGTGACCAGACAAAAGTCAAAGCGGCTGTTGACCAAGTGACCCAGGAGACCGGTGGTGAGCTCGACTACCTTGTCAACAACGCCGGCATCAACCACTCTATGCCTCTACTGGACGAGGACATCTCAACCGCCAAGCATATCTTCGAGACCAAAGTCTGGGGTCAGCTCGCTGTCACCCTGGCGCTCGCACCACTGCTTATCAAAGCTCGCGGTGCGGTGGTCTTCATCACGTTCATTGCTGGACATGTCAATGTGCCGTACATGGATGAGCGATCTCCCAATCATAGAGATACAAGTCCGACGGTGAAGTGCAGAAGATTCACATAAGCAAGCAGGAATATACGCCGCATCCAAGCGATTGCTCGAGATTATGGCGGAGACGCTGCGCCTGGAGCTGGCGCCCTTCCAGGTGCGCGTCCTGTCCATCGTCACGGGGGGCGTGCAGACGCTGGGACAGTCGCATTTCGACGAGTTTGCTTTGCCCGAGGGAGCTATGTACAAGTCTATAGAGGATACCATCGCGAAACGAGCGCGTGGGGAGGATGGAAAGCAGAGATCGAGCCTGCGGGGGCACGCTGAGCAGGTCGTCACGGCCATTGTCGCGGGTACGGCGGGCCAATTTTGGTGTGGCCAGGGTGCAGGCGCTACCAAGTTCGCTTCCACGTACCTGCCGACATCTTGGATGGGAAGTTTGTCAGAAGTCTAGCAATAATCTGGATATCGCTAATAGGCTTTTTAGGACGCTGGGGTCTCGAGAGGGACTGGACTGGATCACTTGAGCAATGCAATGAGTACGGGAGGTAGGTATGGAAGGCGGGAAGAATGGAGAAGGCAGTATACTGCGATACAGAAGTATATAGAAGAACCTACACAAATGCACTGAACTGATACAATTGTCCTTCTGTGGTTGGTCGAGTCGTGAACAGGGTACCTTAGTACTCTCAGCCTTCTGACCAACGACAAGAGGAATGTCTCAAAGACTGCACAAAGATCGCGCCGGAAATGATTCAGACTCACATGGATTGTAAAGACGAGCAGCAGCACCGACTACAGGTTGTGTAGTGTAGTGGTTATCACTTTGGATTTTGACCTCACTTGCCTTCGGGCTCGGAAATATTCCAATAACCCCGGTTCGAACCCGGGCACGACCTTTTTTTTTTTTTTTTTAGCCGTGCTTGGTCTTCCTATGATCAGACCTCCAACATATTAACGGACTCTTTTTGCCTAGAAACACATCACCTACCTCAAAACACTCTCCCAAACTACTCCAACGCGAACCACGGGTCGACATTCGCCTGAGTATTACCTCTGCGGAATTGCCGGATCATCAACCCCAGCCAGGGGCTCCTCTCGCCAAGACCAGCGTGCCAAGACGACTCCCAGACGTGAAGCCAAGAGAAATAAACATCGTCAGTCAGCCCTGAAATGTCCGCCGCCCACGAGTGATTCCGCCAATTAGTGCTCCCTCCGTTGCAGATCCCGGCGAACTATGCACTAGGATTGCGATATGTCCCCCTTATTTCCCCAGAACACCTGTCTAAGCGAGCTGCACGACAAAGTGTTCGCGCCCTCACACGGGCCGCCCTCCGTCTGGGCTGGAGGTTAGTCGTTTCGCACCTGTAGGGCGAACCAAGCCACCAGCCCCTGGAGAATATCCTTCCGTCGGCGACGTCCCCGGATCCCCTGGTGGCAAGTCAGCCCGAGCGGACAACCACTGGCATCGCGACAGGCTCGAGTTCCAGCATGCTATACTTCGTCCTCGTTACGGGGTTGCAACCCCATGTTCTTCAGCAGGATGGTTATTCCACCACTTACGAATGCCAGGGACGCGGGGTGGTAGACCCTGCATGATCGTTCGACAACATCACCTCTCGTCATCGTCTATTGTATAGACGCTGCTGGAGGGATAAATACCCCCACACACCCTCGAGTAACTACCACCATCAAGACCACCACCAAGACAATCGAAGCTTGAACCCTCTTGGCCCAAAAACAATGCAGCTCAGCACCGCGCTCCTTGCATCGCTCGCCCTCGGGGCCGCGAGCGTCCTCGCCAGCCCGGCCCCACCGGCCATCACAGCCCCGCCCACGGCCGACGAGATCGCGAAGCGCGCCACGACCTGCACCTTCTCGGGGTCGAACGGGGCCTCCTCCGCCAGCAAGTCCAAGACCTCGTGCTCGACGATTGTTCTGTCCAATGTCGCCGTTCCGTCGGGGACGACGCTGGACCTGACCAAGTTGAACGACGGGACTCATGTACCCTCCCTTATCCCCATTCCCCCATAAAACCC